GGAGTGGCACATGGTAGGTGGAGGAGGAAAGGGTGGAAGGAAGGGAAGGGGGAGGAACGATGACCCCAACCTCTCAAAATAGCAGTGTGACGTAAGAAGTAGGGAGGGAGGGGGAGGGAGGGAGGAGGAGGGAGGGGAGGGGGGAGAGGGGGAGGGGAGGAGTGGGGGGGGGTAGGCATTTCCCTCACCTAACACACCACGTAAACGATATCTGCTTCACCCCTAACCTAACCCACCTCAACGTTAGGTTAGGTTAGGTCTGTAGGCATATCAACACAGAAGCGATAGGTCCTATTTTTCATATCATCTGAACAATAAACTTTTAACCAAACACTAATTATAGATGAGGCAGGCAGACAGACATAGACAGACACACACACACACACACACACACACACACACACACACACACACACACACACAGACAGACTGATAAATATAACCCTTGACTATTTTTTATATAAGGGGGCATGAGTTTATAGGCCTTCCCCTCACACTGACCGGGTATAGGGAGGGAGAAGGGGAGAGGGAGGAGTAGGGAAGGGTAGGAGGGAGGGTAAGGGAGGGAGAAGTGGGGGGGTGGGGTATGGTACTTCTAGCCAGCTACCCCTCCCCCCTCAATGACATAGTTACCAGTGACACAGTTTAATGACGGGAGGAAATAAGTGCCTCCCTCCTCCATATCTGGCACCCTCGAGTACTGTGCTACTCTGTTGTGGCACTTGACCGAGTGACGGCTGAGTGACGTTCCTCTCCGTCACTGCTTCGAGGGACACACACACACACACACACACACACACACACACACACACACACACAGGCACGAGTACACTGAAAAGAGATGGGGAGATGGCCATAGGGAGGTAGCCATAGGTAAGTCGTCATGGGTAGGTCGTCTGTGCTTACTATTATTACCACCCCACCAGCATGGGTCATTATCCCACGGTGTACTTGGCGCACTGTGTAGGTACTCCCCACTACCAGGACCCACACCCAACCAAACCTAACCTAACCAAACCAAACCTAACCTAACCAAACCAAACACCGATGATGACGTCCCGGAAGACAATCAGTATTGGACAAGGCAGAGACGAGTGAGTTACAGGACACTAAGGCACTCACCTAGCAGTGCCATAGTGCCAGGACTCACCAGTGCCACACACACCATTACCCAGGTAAGCGGGCACCCAGCCAGACTATGTCCTCTGTGTGTGTGTGTGTGTGTGTGTGTGTGTACTCTCATGTGACAGTATTAAACAGTTTTCCAGTAGTAACAGACAGACAACAGATGGCCGCCTCTGTGGGCTGGCCAGGAAGCGTCACTTTAACTTCTGGGAAAATCGTGTCATTAATATTTCTCCAAGATAACGATAGATTTATAATAAGATTGAGGTGTCTAATCTTCAGGTGAACTAAGCTGGAGTTGTCTAATCTTCAGGTGAACTAAGCTGGAGTTGTCTAATCTTCAGGTGAACTAAGCTGGGGTTGTCTAATCTTCAGGTGAACTAAGCTGGAGTTGTCTAATCTTCAGGTGAACTAAGCTGGAGTTGTCTAATCTTCAGGTGAACTAAGCTGGAGTTGTCTAATCTTCAGGTGAACTAAGCTGGAGTTGTCTAATCTTCAGGTAAAATAAGCTGGAGTTGGCCTAATCTTCAGGTGAACTAAGCTGGAGTTGTCTAATCTTCAGGTGAACTAAGCTGGAGTTGTCTAATCTTCAGGTGAACTAAGCTGGAGTTGTCTAATCTTCAGGTGAACTAAGCTGGAGTTGTCTAATCTTCAGGTGAACTAAGCTGGAGTTGTCTAATCTTCAGGTGAACTAAGCTGGAGTTGTCTAATCTTCAGGTAAAATAAGCTGGGGTGTCTAATCTACACCCCTGTAGTAACCTGTCTCTAAACGACCCCAGGCTAATTGACCTATACCAAACCTCTCCACCAATCACGTCCCTTGTTACATCACCAATACTCATTCAGCCATTAACAGTGATGCCGTTTGGTGACTCGGGTTACAACAGGGGCGAAGGAACAACTGTACCCCCTTACACTAGACGGTACCCCTTACACTAGATGGTACCCCCTTACACTAGACGGTACCCCTTACACTAGATGGTACCCCCTTACACTAGATGGTACCCCCTTACACTAGACGGTACCCCCTTACACTAGATGGTACCCCCTTACACTAGATAGTACCCCCTTACTCTAGATAATACCCCTTACTCTAGATGGTACCCCCCTTACACTAGATGGTACCTCTACACTAGACGTACCCCTTACACTAGACGGTACCCCCTTACACCGATGGTACCCCTCATCCTCTAGATAATACCCCCATATACCTAGATGGTACCCCTTACACTAGATGGTACCCCTTACATAGGTACTTACACTAGATACACTTACTCTAGATAATACTTACACTAGATAGGTACCCCTACACTAGACAGACATTACCCCTTAATGGTACCCCTTACACTAGATAGTACCCCTTACTCTAGATAGTACCCTCTCTCTCTCTAGGTCAGACGTATACCCCTAACGCCAGATAGTACCCTTGCTTGCGCCAGATGGTAGCCCCCCCAAGATAAGCGTGGCAGTCCCCCCTCAAGGCCTGACGCACAGTGTATATCAAGTCGCTGTTCTATTTTTACGCCATCTTGCCTGTGTCACCATGTAAGCTACCCCTCCCTGACAGCAGCTCACTTAGTCTCCAGTGTTAATAAAGCCTAATCCGGAGACTTGGGTTGGGTTGGGTTGTTCGAAAATTTTCAGGTGATACAATATATAAGGTATAACTCTCTCTCTCTCTCTCTCTCTCTCTCTCTCTCACACACATCTGTCCATCATAAATATGTCATGAGCTAATCCCTTCATGACCTACAACCATGAACAAAGAAAGACTTGGGAGAGGGTAATACGTCACAGAGGGGGGGGGAGGGACAGCACCTAACCTACCTGATACAACGTTATTCATTATTACAACTACAGATACAGGTAAGTGGTACAGGTAAGTGGTACAGGTAAGTTATACAGGTAAGTGGTACAGGTAAGTGGTACAGGTAAGTGATACAGGTAAGTGGTACAGGTGTATTCCATCATAGTGTTCCTCCTCTCAGGCAACAGGGGGCCGCTCCACTACACACACTTCACATTGACCACGACGCCCATGAAGGCTAAGTCAGTCCCCCCACATCCTTGATAGCCGACAGTCTAAGTGCGTCAGCAAGAGGGCCTTCCATCCTCGTCAGCTGACAGTCTAAGTGCGTCAGCAAGAAGGCCTTAATAAACGATTGACGTCCAAAGACAGGAAATAGACTTGTTAGTGCCAATGGTGTCGTGTTTGGCACTGTGATAAAGATAGTGGCGAGAGATGGTGTTGGTGCAAGTGTGGAGAAGTGTTGGAGGAAGAATGGTGGAGAAAATTTACCAACCAATCAGCGTACGACATACCCTCAAAAACATGGAATACCTTTTAGTTAACATGTCTTCATAATGATTAACAGAGAACATAAATAAAAGTCAAGAACACAAAATTAAAACGAATTACTGTCCCATTTTGTTAATTCCTGCATATGGAATTATAGATTAAAATTTAGAAAAAAAAATAAAAATTCTGTCGTATTTACGAAAAGAAAAAGATTGAGTTAGTTTATTTTTTAAAGGATTATTATCTTAGGTTTGGAAAAACAGCTTTGGTTTACTTGTGTAAGCGACCACGCACAATGTTGACGGTTCTGGTCGTTTGTGTTCCAGTTACAGCAAGGAGTAACTTGTTGATTCAGTCCCTTCCATAATAACCCACGGTGATTTACGATGAGAGTGAGAGAGAGAGAGAGAGAGAGAGAGAGAGAGAGAGAGAGAGAGATTACTTAAAAAAATAAAATCACATCTCACTTATTTACATCTCACACGAGTTCCTTAAGACACACACACTAGGCTAAACTTCCCTCCCATCTCACACACTCCTACACGGAGCTAACCTCACCCTAATAGTATGAATATGGCGGAAACTTAAGTGAGGGAATAAACACTACAGGGGGAGGGGGAGACGCGCCCTGGGCAACACTACAGGAGAGGGGGAAGAGGCGCCCTGGGCAACACTACAGAAGGACCTCGTCAAATATTTAACCTTGAGGACCTCTCGCAGGGCAGTGTCTTCTTCGGGTAGTACTGCAGTAGCTACAATTGTTCTCTCTCTCTCTCTCTCTCTCTCTCTCTCTCTTTCTCTCTCTCTCTCTCTATATATATATATATATATATATCAGCCGGTCCATATGTAGTTCCTGCGTCCACTTAATCATTCTCTCTCTCTCTCAAATCTTAATCAGTCGTTACTCGTTCCATGCACATAGTTGAAATGTTGGACTACCATGGAAGACGATATGTGTGTCCTTGGTGTGAGGGCGTGCAGGGAATGTGACCAGGGAGCCAGCCAGGACAGTGCCAGACAAAATACCTTACTACTGAAACTCTCAAGTCCTCACAAACATCACTAGGTTACCAGGCACCCCCTCCCCCACACATACCTCACTAACCTACAACACGCACACACACATCCACACCTCACCCACCTCCCTCCTTCACTCCTTCCTTCCCTCCCTCGTATAATAAAGGTTTATTTATAAATATGGCTGAGTTTATATAACAGTGTAACGTGTGGATGGTGTGACGTGAGTGCTGTGACGTGTGGGTGGTGAAATGGGCGGTGTGGGTGGTGAAGTGGGTGGTGTGATATGTGGGTGGTGTGACGAGAGTTAAGTAACCAAGATACAAACCCATTTTCATATATTTTAAACAAGCATCAAGTAATTTGGTTCATCATTGGGAAGTACACTTAACCTAACCTCAGACGCAAGTAACTGGGCACCGGAAGTAGCAACTAGCAGTAACTAGGTGAGGCATATAGAGTGTACTTACCCGAGTGAAGAAGACGGCAGCAGCCCGCCCAAGAAACCCAACCCACTTATACCTCGACACTGACCCCACACACACTCAACACTTACACCAGAACACAGCCACGTAATCACTGTCGGCCACAAGATTTTCCAGTTGCTTAGCGTTTACATCCTCGATAACGTCAGCCTTGGCATTATGGGCGAGGGTGTGTGTAGCCAGCAGCAAGAGGCCCACCGCCAGCAGCGCCCCCGTCACTAGTCGTATCATTGTATCTACCACTGTCCTCCCCACCACACAGTTAGTCCTCCTTCAGTAGCGATGATGTTTTGTTTTGGAGGCGACGTCGAGGTGTTCCCGGGAGGTGCGGGCCACACTGCTGGGGATGAGAACGTGAGGGCGTGAGCAGGTGGGGGGGATGGGTGCTGACGGGGCACTACTCCTACCGGCACCGACCGCATCTGGGGCCTAAAATAAACCCAGGGTGTAGGTTGCCCGTCAAATGCCCCCACCGCGCCTGAGCACCAAGCCAAAATTTCCAACCATCTTCGTCGACATTAAGGAAATTACAACACGGAAAACCATACAACAGAACCAGGAAAAAATAACGATACCAAGTGAAATTTCTCTCAAAAATGGCGTTTAGGAGTTAATGGACTTTGATAACCATTAACTTAATCGTGTGGCGAACCTGGGGTGGTGGTGGTGGTAGATAGAGGAACATTGGGCACAGATTATGGAAGGAATTATCCAGTAGATCCTCACATAGGTGCCACAAAAATACCCGTGGGCAGTGCCATAGTGTGCCACCGGTCAGCCCTGAACATGACCACACCCTGATGGCCCTGAATGATACCCTAATAACTGATATTACGTGATACTTATATTTGTTCTATATTATGGTGATCCCTGAAGACCCTGATACTCGCTATGAGGCCCTGATACTCGCTATGAGGCCCTGATACTCGCTATGAGGCCCTGATACTCGCTATGAAGCCCAGATACTCGCTATGAGGCCCTGATACTCGCTGTGAGGCCCTGATACTCGCTATGAGGCCCTGATACTCGCTATAAGGCCCTGATACTCGCTATGAGGCCCTGATACTCGCTATGAGGCCCTGATACTCGCTATGAGGCCTGATACTCGCTATGAGGCTCTGATACTGCCTGATACTCGCTAGGGCCCTGATACTCGCTATGAGGCCCAGATACTCGCTATGATGATACTCGCTATGAGGCCTGATACTCGCTATGAGGCCCTGATACTCGCTATCCTATGATATACATGAGCCTATGAGGCCCTGATAGGGCCCTGATACTCGCTATGAGGCCCTGATACTCGCTATGAGGCCCTGATACTCGCTATGAGGCCCTGATACTCGCTATGAGGCCCTGATACTCGCTATGAGGCCCTGATAATCGCTATGAGGCCCTGATACTCGCTATGAGGTCTCTGATACTCGTTGTGAGGGCCTCATACTCGCTATTTAATTGACTGATTGTGTGATTTAATTTGAATGATAAAATAAACAATAATAAAACTCCTGTTAATAACAACTCACTGCCTTAACACATGTAGCAAATACTTGTCTTATATATATTTATTAACAGTAAAGTAAAAAAATAAACAAGGAATTCAGTCAGGTCATTTTACAGTTCACGAGTTTATAAAAATAAATTATTACAACCCAAAAGGCTACAAAATAGTATAATATCGCTCTGGTAGCAGTGTTGGGAGGTGTCCATTTCAACCAGGATTCGTATCACACAGGAACCTTCAGGCATTGACGTTAACTGTTAAATTATTGCCATACTCGAGCCAGAAGTGAAGCCAGATGTTGTTTACACTTTTATTTTTTACCACAAACACGTACACACACTTTATCTTGAAGATAAAGGGGAGACAGGTGATGGATGCTGCTAGGTGTGTAGATATACAGTATATGTATTGGTACACAGACCTAAGACTGGCTAATGATCAGGCTATATAAGACTGTTCTCCCCATCTCTCCTAAGACTCAGGATGGAAACAGTCTTCCTAAATCTCCTAAATTAACTTGGTCAAATTTACCAGTGTGTAGTTACTGTAGACACCTGAGCGAAGGTGTATGTCCCCAGTGCTGCCAGTCATAGATTTGTTCAGTAACTCTCAGCCTAAATACCTTGTTAAACCTGGATCTGTTCCCCAGTATGCCTCCCTTCAAAACATTAGGGTCAGCGGCTAGGAATTCCCGAAGTAAGAGGCACCTTGTGGTTATTCTCAGGGCTACCGGTTCAGCTCGAAGCATCCTTGTGCATTACGTCACATTGAGAATTTGTTTACTAAGGGAAATGTCGAGATTAAAGACATGACGATCTATTCTTCTATTCCCTCAGTACAAAATCATTTCAAATCTCCCGTGGTATCTGGAATGGTAGACACACCCTCATCCAACAGCCCAACAAAAGTTTTAGAAGAGAATCAACCTCCACCAACAGCCTTCAACTGATTCCTTTGTCACTCCAGTAATTGACCAACCCAACCAGATTATATCTACAGAAGCTCTCTTAACAGCTCAACATATGGATCCCTAATTAAGACAATGTTGGAAGATGCCGCTCTTAGTGTAGAGTATCTGGCGAAGTAACCTGGTTTCTATCTTCATGACGGAATTCTTCTGTGACTGTTTAGATCCATCCATCTCTCCCAGGAGGAAAACTGGGTAGATGAGGTTCAGGTAATTGTTCCGACCTCAATAAGTGGACAAATAATTTCTCCACATCATAATGGCTTGAATAGAAACTTGCGTACTCATGAAACTTACCATAAAATTTTACCGACCAGGGAATAAACTTTACCTCAGATCTATTTCAAGCCTTGATGAGAGAGTTAGACACATCATGTAATCTCGAACATTTTCACCAAACACTGAAATCCACATGATGTGCATTTAAAACCCGATACTCTACTTGTAAACAAGCTCCATACCGTCTTAGTCCTGAGAAGAGAAAGGCGATGCAGGAGGAGGTTGACTACCTGCTGGACCAGGAGTTGGCCACACCATGTACAGCTTCAGCCACATTTCAGAGGCTGATGAAGTATACTGTCTAGGGTCTTATCTGGATGACCTGCTTGTTATTTTAGACACTTGGGTGGTCCACCTAGAGCAACTAAGGGTCCTGTTTGAGCAGCTTGATGAAGTGGGGCTCACTGTCAACCTGGCCAAATACAGCTTCGTCCAGGGCACAGTAACCTACCTCGGCCATGTAGTTGGCCAAGGATGAACCCAGCCCAAGTCTGCAAAAGTGGAAGCCATCTTACACTTCCCTCGTCCCACAACGAGGAAGACCCTCCAGCGCTTCGCGGAAATGGCCGAGTTGTACGTAGGTTCTGCCCCAACTTGTCCTCCATCGCCGCCGCTCTCACCAGCTCCACAGTCCTCTCCTGAGTGTCAGGGGACCTTCCACTTACTTCAGGTTCTCCTCTGTAGTGATCCAGTTAATCTTTAGATCTCAAATGCCTTTTTAGACACTTACCCTTTAATGTCTTGGGGGGCCTGTGGCTACTTCACCACGTGTTACCTGTTCCCTCGAGTCTGTTATCAGCGTGTCGACAGGGCAGACCCCAGTCCAAAGACAATGGGTCTAATTCTCTGGCAGATAAGTTAGAACTCTGTAACAATAGTTCTCTGTGTGACTGTACACCCACTAAGACAACCCACCAGCTGCTATATTATGATGGACAAAAGACCAAAAACCGAAGTTACATCTTTAATAAAACACCAAACTGTCGTGCCACTAGCCTGCAGTCTATTCAATAATGTAAATAATATACAAAAGTATAGAAATATTTTTAATAGCAATGAGATTCTTTGCAGAAAGATGCTGTTAGGAATTATACTGCATAGCTCACTTTCAGTTCAACTGTTGTACACATATCAAGTTCACAGTCTGAGTTGACAAAAGCCTCCATGCTTAAAACTATATACAATGCATGAAAACCAAAAACGTCAGATAGGGAACTACACTTTGTGGGTATAAGTTCTATACTAAAAATAAAAATCTCTTACTTTTCTTGTAAATAACTTTAGTTCATAATTAGATGCCATAGTAATGAAGAAGTACGTAAAGACAGTAACAAAATAAGCTTAAGAATATTAAATGCATCGATCTATACACTGTACAACTAACTCACAGTAGTCAACTCACCCTTACCATGTGACTGAGACCATGGATACACTTGTGGCCATAAATCCCTAAACACTTATATCTTCCATCTACTTATTGATCATATATGTGATTTGGTCAATAGTAGATGTTCATTATAAATCTGAATAACATAAGTACTCTAAACACAAATTCTGAGTACAGTACACAGATGAGTACATAGATAATAAAATTCCATTCCCTCTTTACCTACTGTATATGACCATTGAGTAAGTGCAAGATACGACCAAATGTGTCCAGGGAATCTCATCTACAGCTGTACACGACGACAATACAACACGGTAGGTGGAGTTATGGCTACGTGTGGTAAGGTAGGAGGTCAGGGGTTCAAAGCTGGCAGGATATTATCTTTGGATCCTTTGTATGTACACATGTTAATGGTGTGTCTGGTCTCCGTGAGTACAGGAGACATTAATATGCATCTATGTGTGTACAGGAGACATTAATAGTCTCCGTGTGTACAAGAGACATAAATAACATGTTTCGGTCTCTCCGTGCGTATAAATGTTAATAATGTCTCCGCGTGTATAGAAGACATTAACAGCATCTAAGTGTGTATAGTTGTTAATAATGTCTCCGTGTCTATACAGGAGACATTGCTAGTTACCACAGAGCCTAAAACAACATACGTCATGTCAACTGTGAACCTCTAAGGTGACCCAAAACAATATAAACAAACTCACTTCAATTTTATTAAACATATTATCCTCATCAATCAATTATTTCTCAGGGATCACTTTAATGGCTCACAGATAATATATTACTGGTGATATTTTGCTCCATTATACACTCTATTGACCCCTGTACTCACTTACACCTCAACAATTGTATCGTACCAACTTTAAAACACCATCAAGTGACCTCCGTAAAGAACATAAAAACATGAAACTTTTAAAAGAAACAGATTCTTCCAAGATGTCCGCTGTGTTCATGTGAATACGCTTGTAAACATATCAAGTCACATGAATAATCAAGGTAATGCTAATACCGAGTGGCAAATACAGTATCAGAGACTGGTATCATGTACATAAAACACTCGCACATTATTCAACATTTAAAAGGAAATCGGGAAAATAGAGAATTCTTCCTAAGTCTCCTATTATCACCAATATTTACCGAGAAATGATTAAGACGTCGTATCAGAGGATGGAGGTTGATATAATACCATGTGTGTGTTTGTGTGTGTGTGTGTGTGTGAAACCCATGAACTTAATCATGTACAAAAATTCGAGTGTATTTGGGACATAAATAATTCCCCTCACACCACACACACACAACCCCCCCACATCATATCCAAACTCTGATCCACTGATATGACTCCTTAAATACTGCCTCAAGATCATGCTAGTGTAAGCAGAGAGTCAGGGTACATGTTCAGGCACTGGGAGGACTGTTCTTTTATTTCTCTTCTGGTCAGATAATGGTCATTGCCTTTCCAGTTCCTGACTAGCTGGTTCTTCCTCCTCCGGGTCCCTTCGTATCCAAGAGGCTGCCGTTCCATTGAGGTGTGGGGCGCTGTGAGCCAGATGTGAACCAAGCGACAGAAGTGAATCCCGTAGAAATGATGCCAGGAAACGCAGGGAAAATTCAGCATTCACAAGCGACAAACATAAAAAAAGCCAGGATATGCAGGTAAAATTAGCACTAAAAAGTGGCAAACATAAAAAAAGCCGGCAGCAAAAGCAGGTAGATTTCAGCATTCACAAGCGATAAAAGAAAAAAGCCAGGATATAAGGAAAACATCAGCAATCACAAGCAACAAATGAAAACAAAACAAAAGCAACCAGGAAACGCAGGTAAAGTCTAGCATTCACGAGCAACAAAAGTGCAAAAAAAAAGGGCAGAAAATGGAGTTAAGGTTCAGCCATTTTGTAATAAGTATAACAGCACTGTAAACAAACCTTAAGTTGTTCTGTTGTTTGTGTTGTTGTCATATATCAACACCCCAAGAGCACCACAAACAAGTAACACAAATACAAACAGATCACTCAAGACACACGGCTTAAGAGAACGACAAAAACTCTCTAAATAATTTCCGTTACAGTTGTTTGGTTTCAAATGTTAGTAACAAAATATCAAATTAAAAACAATAATGGAAAAAAATATAGAATTAAATAAGAAACTTGGCAATGGCAGTAAAATGTCTTAAAAACGGACAGTATCTGAGGCTACTGTACAAACATGGTGGCCGTATTACTGTCACTCAACTTAAAATGGATGAAAATAAAATAAATACTTCTGGTACAATATCCTCGGTGTTAAGTCTGTCAACACAAAGTCATCCATTTCCAAACTAAGATATGGTGATGTCTTAAGTGTTGTTCAGTGTATCAGTCAAGAGGTTTAGGCCTGAACTCCACACCTGGACCAGCAGCACCATCACTGACTAAGACTGGTCCTGCCACTTAACTGTCTAAAGTACTGTACACGAAAGCCTCCAATAACGACGGTTCTGTTAATGACGGTTCATATTTAAAACCCTGGGTAATTTACACCAGCATCACTAACAAACAGTTGCAGCTTGGCGAGCATTTTGTTTCCAGGACGGGGAGAAAAACTTTCTTGGGTATCTTACGGCATTTTTGTGCTCCTATTGAACACGAGCAAGAGAGCAAGTGACGGTATTGATGATTTAAAAGCTAAGAGAAAGTGTATACGCTTAGCCGAGAAACAAGTTATGTTAAAACAATATGAAAGAGGAGAGAGGTGAGTGGATATTACACACACTTCAGGGGAAACTATTAGTAAGGATGAAGAAAAAATTTAAGAAAGTGTTCAGTTGATGAAGAGAATGTTGAAGAGCTATTAAACATAATGGAGAATACCTAACAAATGAAGAACTAATGCAACTTGAACAAGAAACACACTAACAGATTATCCCCACCTCACCTTCTCGCAAATTTATGGCAACATTGGCTGTGTCCTAAGTTTTTTACTTTATCACCACTGGTGAGTAGAATTTTTGTTTTACATTCATAAGCAAGAACAGTAATAAGTGTTGCTTTCATACTGCTATGTAGAGAAATTATGCTAGATTTTCATGTGTGCGTACGTAGTACTACATACATATGATGGCCTTGCGCAGTCCAACTCACTTTTGTCTTTAACATCGGTGGTTACTTCTACTGTACATTAAATAACATTAAATAAAACATATTTTTTTACATTAATTTTGCTACAGCAACAACCAGGGTCTTATTTTCTTGGATAACTGTCATCATGGGTGTAAACACTGACAACAACAATGGCATCCCATCTCCTCTTGTGTGACCTTATTATTATTAGTGATTTATATTGTATAAGGTGCATTCATAAACATTATTTGATGATTACAATTTTAATATTTAATTAATTTTATTGTTTGGGGAGAAAAGAGGGTAAAAAACCACACAAAAGAATGAAAAGGTCAGACTTTGGACCACATCTCATTATTGCTTTATTTTAATGGTAATTAATGATTCACGATACTGTAAGATGATTCACCTTACACTCCTGTATTGGAGGACACATTACCGTCATTACTCGAGGCTTTACTGTACTGTACTGTACTTTACTTCCTTTAACATTCACTAAGCCGAGTTAGAACTTGTATTTTACGACATTTAAAATTATTAATCATGTCAACCAATAATAACCATATGAAGAGTTTGGATGATAATAATAATAACAATAATATGATAAAAATAATAATAATAATAATAATAATATTAACAATAATAATAATAATAACAATAATATTGATGATGATGATGATAACAATAATAATAATAATAATAATAATAATACATTACTAATAATAACAAGATTAATGATGATAATAAGGTTCATATGATAGAGGAAGATTAATACCACCATGTACAGGTGTCCTTAAAGTTCTATAATACATTAATGGTATAACCATCGTTTATTCTAGTATTACAATATCTTCTAATGGAAGAAAGTGACTATTTATCCGATGCCTCAAGACTCGGGCCGTAAAATATAAGTTCTGGGATCTGGCCGCCCTGTACACCTGTACCGTTAGTGCTCTCAGAGGAGCAGTGAAACATGAAGGTGAGGGCCCCCATGTTCACCTCACTCATCCCCTCTTGTCCAAAGTATGACAGTTCTGCTCCGTCCAAAATAGCAGATGCAGTATAATATACATCGCGCTCCACTTGTACTGGGTGTGTGAAGTACACGTGAAAAGTGTTGGACGACCCGTCGGAGAAGAATTTTGTTGTGCTCTCAGCTAGCACCTGTAAAACATAACATCTTATGTACCAAACACTTTAAGGGCAATTTGGTCTCTTATAGTGTACGGTATATCAAGCATCAGTGCATGCACAGAAAGGAATACAAACAGCATTGTTTGTTATTTGTTAAAGAAACAAGTGATGATGTATCCACTTCTCACTCGTTTAAGTCAAGTACCTTTAGGTCTGGCTTCTGCCATTACTTGGGTAAAAATAAATGGTACTGTCAGTTCCAATTATCAGCTAGTCTACCATGTTATTTCATATTACTGACACCTTGTGGTGGCCCCACAGACTTGGTGCCACCATCTTGCTCTCAAGTGGGCCAGGTCGAGGTGGAACCCTGCTTGTTGCCGACCCAGACTGATCACCCGGGTGAGATATTCTTGACCTTTAGGGCCTTGATGAGTCCCAGTTCAAGCCAATTTCATATAATGGCTTCCCTTACTACAGGTAGATGGGTGATCTTTGATTACCTCAGGGAGTAATGACTGCCTGGCCCGCTAGGAAGGCACTATTAAAAGTGAGTTGGTGATAGGAAGAGCATCGAGAAATAAAACTTGCTTCACATTTACTTGATGGCAGCCGAGACACCATGCCAACAGGTAAGATGACGACGACACCTTGAGATAATAAAAGAGGAATTCATCAAGAGACTTACCTCACCGTACTTCTTCAACTCAATCCTGACGTTGTAGTCCGCTGCCCCGCTCGACGACCCGTACAGACCGTAACCCACAACAAATATTCTCTTGTCCACCATGAAGTTAATGGAGTCGACACGCCCTCTGTACCGCCACTGATTACTTCTGTAAGCTGAAGACTGAAATCTGAAATGGAAGAAAAATTATCAATACTTGTATCCAGTTATTACAAGTCCTATATATGTGGGAGAAATTTTGTCTAATTCAAACATTTTAATTGTGATATATAATACAATCTGGAGGTACTATAACATGCGGTCCACAAAGATATCTTTTGTCTACCCTACCCTACACTACCCTAACCTAACCCTTAATCAGTGTCTAAGGATTACTACACCCTTTATGCACACAATGTAACACAAGGGACAATGAAACTTCCACCAATGATGGCCACCGTCCCTCCAGTTAACAAATTGGTTGTTTACATCGTGTAACCCAAACAATAGGTGTGGTGAGCCACTCACCTGTGACAGATCTGCTTCTTCAGTCCTTGTCTTGGCTTGACCGGGTACGAGACTAAGGGTTTGTTCCGAGCTGTAAAATGCAAGAAGAGGTCTGTGGTTTCTTGAAGGGTGAGGATTCCCGACTGTGCCGCTCCATTAGCAAATTCCCCCAACTCCATGCAGGGGATGCGGATTAAGTTCAACGCTGTGCCTAAAACCTAAAATTTAACCTGTTAGTTATTCTCACTATTTATATTCTAATTCTTGTTAAATAAGGGAGTCAAATAAACATACAAGGTGCTATACATGACAAGTCAATACACAGCTATAGACTATGTTTACCTTTCGTTTATTCTCGGCCGTTAGTTCCATTTCATGCCGGGTGCACTCGGCCTCGGCCCACGACAACGCCGCGTCGAAGAGAACAATCTCCCGACAGTTCAGAGTTTCTCTTGACAAAACGCTGGTCAGGGTTGGAAAGTCAATATCAACGAAGCCGTCAGACTGTAGTGCCATCTCCGCCTGTGAGAGATACATCGTACATCTGTACTGTCTAGGTATATTTTTGTATACTTAATGTACACTGATTATGTATATTGTGTATCTGAATTGTCTATATACAGACTGAATTGTATACCTGCACTGTCTATACACATGCTAAGTCAAAGTAAACTTGTATGAGAACTTTGTCGAATAAATCTGAACTGAACTGAAAACTACCCAACTGTCCCTTCACAGGTGTAAACCCTTATGGTATTAACCACACACAACAAGACTCCAAGTGTCTATGTGGTTTATCCTTGTCAGTTGACAAGTATTACCCATCAGAAACATGTCCTCCACAAGATAACACTTAATCAGATGTTCTCCTGTTATTTACTCTCTCTCACACACCCACCTGGGCATCAATGACCTCCCAGCAGCGCGTCATCAATTCGGGTTCCTCAAACAGCCTTGACTGGGAGAGAAGAAGGCAAGCATTTCGAGCTGTTAAGGAAACCTCGAGAAATTTTACACACTGCTGAGCCAAGTGAGGTACGAGATATTTCTTGGCAGCGTAGAGCGTCGCCAGCACCGTGTCGGGCTCCAGGCGGATCTCATCACAGTACAGGTACCTACGATGACAAAAGGTTCAAGTAAGTAAGAACCCAAAAACTATGATTCGCGACCCATGTATGACGCACTCTGGGTGAAAACCTGACAAGACACAAAGTGACTTCAGATGGGATTTTATAACCATTTCACTTATCTAAAAATCACTGAGCTTTAAATGTGTTTCCTGATGATTTTTACTTTCATCGCTTGTCTAGTTCTCCCCCACAATGCTTCAAATTTTACCAAGCGTATAATGCCATGTGTGTTTATCAGTACATGTCTGTATTTATTCATATCAATCACCTCAAACCTCATTAACCAAACTGTGACCAAGAGAATCAAACTTGATGTAAAGTTATATTGTCTTGGTGAAGCAGAACATGGGAGTTATTGGGTGATCGTGCGCAGGACGACTGTAGTTTGTTGTAGCAACGTAATAAAAGACAAAGATGGACACAGCCTAAGACTTAAGCATTTGAGGACTGAAGGGTTGAATCAGTACCACCAAATGGTTAAAACTGCATTGTCAAATGGTTCAATCATAGTCATCAAAGGGTTAAATCAGTCGCCAAAGAGTTAAATCGTCATCAAAGGGTTAAATCATCGTCGTCAACGGGTTAAATCATCGTCGTCAAAGGGTTAAATCAATAATCTTCATTGTCAAAGGGTTAATGGTGATGAAGGAACCTGTGGAAATGCTTGACTCGCTAGGTAGTGGTTACTCTTTCTTCTACAACATGAAAACAAATCACATTACTATTATTAAAACATTGGAATCACCTGAAGATTAATCATTGTTATACTACCTGGGGCAATTAGGTAAAGCTAGGGTAGGTCAGGTTAGATTAAATTGGGTGAGGTTAGGGTAGATAAGGTTACATTAGATTACATTAAAGTTTAGTTGGATTAACTTATGGTAGGTTAGCATTAGGGTGTTTGAACTTCAGGTGTCATAAGATAGGGTGTCTAATTTTCAGGTGATCTAAACACTATAATATCCAGTCCTGTAGATGTATTAAACTGTGACCAACATTACCTAAGCAGAGTGAGGAAGGCAGAAGGTTCTACATCAGGCACCTGCACCTCTTCCTCAGACTTCAGCCCTCCATAAAACATGGCATAGAACACACTGCTGCCCACGGCCAACACATACTTATGAGCGGGGATTCTTTGGGTGCTCCCTGTCAAGGTATATACTGCAATCACATCTATTACTACAGAGAACAGTATATATATTATCAAGCAGTTAAGGTTTGTTTTGTCAAGTACTGTATTTAAATTCTGGATATAAATATTTTATCAATTACCCTGTAGTTAAGTTCTGGGTATAAATAAGAAATATTTTCTCTTATAATTATGACTTTAATATTCAGAACCAGCACCGTGCAAGTGAGCAAACATAAGTCAAGTGATAAATGAGAAGGTGTTGTAAAAGTACCTGGTTGACCCACAACAAAATGTACGTCGGCCATGAGTTCATTATTTAGCATAGCCGCATTTCTCTCTCTAAGGCTGGTTGCGTGGAAGTTTGGGTCAGACGATGTGGAGGAGACAGAGGCGCCAAGGGGTACGGGGGAGAGGGGGGGAGGGGAGGTCGCGCTGCTGTGTCTGTGTTGGGGAGACGTGGGTGCACTCGACGGCTGTAAGATTCCTCCGCCTCGTCCACTGCCGCTACGAGAGTTACCGCCTTCACACTGGTCTTCGATACTTCTTAAGGGCGGCATCAACGGTCCCAGGAATAGAGAGTTTTCGTTATCCAAAAGGCTTCCTGAAATACAAAACACACGGCCATTAGATTCAATACGCCGTAGAAATCATAACAAATCGACAAAAATGGCAGAGAAAGTGACGCTAGAGAATCAGTTTAATATTCGTGTATAGAGACAGATGCCACACACCGAACAGCGGCCAAATATTTCACCCGACACCTAAAATCAATCGACAACCAAGATGGAGTAAAAACTATTATTTCCTACTCACCAACCTTTATTTTTCTTCACCAAAATTACTTGTTTTTTCACATAAGAAAGCCTATCTGATGGACAATACTTTAACCCCTTCTTGATTACAATAACTTAACCCCTTGAGGACAGTAACTTAACCCCTTGAGGACAGTAACTTAACCCCTTGAGGACAATAACTTAACCCTGACTACAGAAAATTAACATCTTGAGCTGAGGGGTTAAAATGAACTCAGAAATTTAACATAAAGTACATTTTTAGTGCACACACACACACACACACACACACTAAATACCCACCAGAAGTAGAGAGGAGGGAATGGAGAGCAAAGGGGTCCTCATACTGGGTTCTCTTGCACACTTGCTTGCTGGAGGGTGACGTCTGACTCCCGTTGTCCATCCTTGGTCTCTGTTCATCGAGAGGAGGGACAAAGACCTCAGTGCACCACCGACACACTCTCAGCTTCAAGGTAAAGAGAAACACATTTACAGTGGTTAGTTTAGGCTATTATGTTAAGTTAGGTTAAGTATTGCATTAGTTAGGTTAGATTAGATTAGGTAAGGTTTAGAATTTGGTTAGGTTATGGTATTAGGTTGTTAGCATAGGTAGTGCATCAGGTTAGGATCGATGTTAGGTAGGTTACTTCACATTATATGTTAGGTTAGGTCAGGTACTGCATTAGATTAGGTAAGGTTTAGTATTTGGGTAGGTTATGGTATTAGGTTAGCATAGTTCAGTGGCTACAATAACTTAACAATAATCTTAAGATAGGATCAAGATTATATAATTGTGACAAGATGTAGTATTGTAAATATTGAGTTGAATAAACCAATCACCTGAAGATTAGCCCCCAGCTTGTTTCACCTCAGCGGTTCAGTCCTGCTAAATCAGACAGTTTAAGATTAGTAAGACTGACACAATAGCCTGTAATGGGTGCTGCTGACTAATACAACAGCCTGTAATGAGTTCTGCAGACAGACAAAATGGACTGTGATGAGTTCTGACTGACATAACAGGCTGTAATGAGTTTTTTAAGATATAATAGCCTGTAATGAGTTCTCCTGACTGACATAATGACCTGTAATTATGCTGACAGACATAATCGCCTGTAATGAGTTCTCCTGACTGACATAATGACCTGTAATAAGTAGAGACAAGACATACAGTGTAGGGTAGAGGCCACACAAGCTATATAAGGTATGTCAGGCCATCACAGGTACATCATCAACCTCTTAGAAAAAATTTATCACCTGAAAAATTCTATAAAAGTTAACTTGTTTCCTCTCGTGAATTTTAATAAAAGTTTGGAAGAATTGTAACTTTCATACTTTTTTTTTTCGTAGATGCGCCGCCTCCGTGTAGCAGCCATCATCAGCAGACCAGAAACCAATGATTTGTCGTAACTAAGATCATCCCAGTGAACAAACCTAACGTAACCTTACCAAAACTTCTAATATATACTTGTCCTTGGATGGAAGTACTGTACATTAGGTTAGGTTAATTTAAATTAGGTAAGACAAGGTTAAGGTTAGGTTAGGTTAACAATTAAAGTGTTATATTGTTTCTCCCTGGCGAGTCTATCATCAGTTTAACCTCTTGTGTACAGGTTCCTCTCTAAGCTGAATAAAATCATCTGCCATTGGTCAAATAAAGTGTTACAAGCATCGTCCCCGCACTGAAGGGATTAAACATAAACATGCCATCAACTAACTATATTTACTCTAAACAAAAACATAAAAAAGTTGCAATTCATCCAATTTTTATGGGCATTTGAGAGAAAATAAACATTTTCTTTTTATTGACCTCAAGTGAAGTATTACCACCATTACATTGGTCATTAGTGTCTTCAATGTTGATATATGTAACCATGCATAAAATTAACACCAATTAAAACCAACAAATAAACCCTAATGACCATAACTACACCTGAATACCTCACCCAAACAACCAAATTACACAACAATATTAAATAAACTCAATCACCTCACACGTCAATCACACAAACCCTTATTTACGAACCAATTATACTAAAAAATTAAATTAAATTAACCTCTACAGATACTCACATGTCACCACTTGTGTTAAATGAGACTAATAATGGCCTAATCACCTTCTTTATAAGGATATATAGAGAAATAATCCTTAATAAGAGATGATAGCTGGTCTCATCGTCGCCATCTTGTTTATTATGTTAGGGGTCGCAGGGTTATGACACTACCTGGTCTTACCCCACACACATACACACATACACACACACATATACATAAATACATACACATTCATACATACATACAGATGGATACATATATAGACAGACAGATACATACATATATTATACGTATACATGAAGAATAATATGTATGCTAATAGGGATACAACCTACAGTATATACGTTAATATATGTAATTATTATGATTTTTTTTTATTTTGTTTAACTTATGTAATTATATTAAGAGAAACAGTAATAATTTGTAATGATAAATAAATATAGAAGTGTAGGAATTATTAAAGAAAATATAACCATAAGTATCATCATCTTGAATTTTCGTCTTTATTTAATTCCGCCTTATGAAAAATAATTATTAACTCTAAGTAACGTTTTATTTTATATTTAATACATATAATATAAATAATCATAAATACATTAAAAATTTCTCTATTAATTATTAAGAATACATTATCAACAAAGGTTACAATAAAGTTAGATGTTAAGGAAGATTTTGTGTGATATAACCAGGTCATGTTATTAAGGTCTTGTTATTGTTGACACAGGTGGACGAGGATGACCTTGGACGAGGATGACCTGGAAACTACCCAAGAGTGTCATTGGTTTAAGTGCCTTTGGTTCATTTGTAGGAGGAATTATATTATTTAAGTAAGTTATATCTCTTGTGTTGGTGATCTGGATGAGTTTAAATGGAAGAAAAAAGTCACACCTTAATTAAACTAATGATTAACCCCTTTACTGTGGATTAGGTAGAATTGAACTGGTTAATCTTAAGGTGACATGAACTAAGAGGTGAATCTTCATGTGATCCAAATAAAGAATAAACAGTATTGTATTAATTGTATTACTGAATCATTAACATGTGAAGAGATATAGTTAACTCTGCCACATATATTTATTTAACAATTTGATGCGTTGTTATTTCAGAGAAGTCATCGGGGGCAACAAATACACCGGGACCGAGAGCATGATTGGCAAGACGGTCATCATTACGGGAACAAACACAGGCATCGGTAGAGAGACGGCTTTAGAGATGGCCAAGCGTCGAGCCCGAGTCATCATGGCGTGTCGAGACCTTGAGAAATGTAAAGAGGTTAGAGGAAGAATCATTGGTCGTATTTATTGCTGGAAGGAATTATTCAGTAATGATCATTTGCACATAATTAGGATCACCGAACCTAATCTAACCTACCCTAACCTAACCAAACTTAACTCCTCCATGTATCAATAGGGTATTTAATCATTAGGGGAAATATGCTGAGGTGACTGATTATATATTATGGTTCAGAGTTTTTTATCTTGAGTTGATTATTTTCTCTTCTTCAGGCGAGGAAAGAAATTGCTCTGGAGTCTCGAAACAAATATATATACTGCCAGGAGTGTGACTTAGCTTCTCAAGAGTCTATCAGGAACTTTGCCAAGAAGATAAATGAAAGTGAGTTATAACAGTGAAGTGGGAGTCATCATCACTGTTGTCAAATCATCATCATCACTAATGTTGTCATCATTATCATCACTACAGTTATCATCATCAATTATCATCAGTTTTAGGCCTTTTTCTGTGCTTAAGTGGGTTAGCCGTGATTACCTGGTGTTTATAGTGACTGATATTTTGTATTATAACCAATACAGAAGAGGAGAGAGTTGACGTTTTAATCAACAACGCCGGTGTGATGCGGTGCAAGAAGTCGGCCACTAAGGAAGGGATAGAACTACAACTCGGCACAAACCACCTGGGGCATTTCCTCCTTACCAACCTACTTCTAGATAAGATTAAGGTATATTCCCCTCCACTTACACCTGCTACAGTGACTGGCTACTATTGTGACATTCCTTAGGGTCATTCTGGGGGGTTTAATACGATATAAATAAACAAAGAGTTGCCACATCTCACTAAACACGGCAGTTACTTTAACAGGTGTACAGTAAGTGCAGGCGACTGTACCTATGGAAGATGAGACTTTACTAGTTCATGTTTGTGAGTCACTGTGGAGAGAGACAAATGACAACACACCTCTGGCCTTTTGTATCACATGTCTTGGTCTTGTCTACACCTCCACATATTTAGACTGTAAACTATAATTCATCTGTCCAAAACTTGTATGTATTGTTTGTGTTTCATATTAAAAGATATGGTGATGCAATACATAGTAGATACTGTATTTATAAATTAAGTAACTTGCTTCACCACCAACTTATATCATAAATATTTCAATTGTTGCTTCATATTCCTTTACAATATTCAATGCTGCAATAGAGTACTGTACTATATATAAATTCATTGACAGGCTTCAGCACCGAGCCGCATCATAAATGTCTCGAGCGTTGCACACAAGCGAGGGAAAATAAACTTCGATGATCTAAACAGTGAGAAGACCTATGATGAAGGGGACGCATACGCTCAAAGTAAACTGGCCAACATCTTGTTCACGAGAGAATTAGCGGAGAGACTAGAGGGTAAGGAACCAATTACTGTACTCCTTTGAAGATATATTACCTGAGTAAAGTCATTTGGATCACCTGAAGATTAGATACCCATGTTATTTCACCCATCACTCATATACTAAGGAAATCTTCAATTAACAATCAACTATGACCTCAAGATGAAACACCTATACCAGTAAAACTTTCTATTTAATTATGGAATCGCCTGGAGATTAGACGCTCTAGTTTATTTCCCCTTACTGGATTAACTCACCATACTCAAGGGATTATAAATGTCTAAAATACAGTCCAAATATTTTTATCCCCAGGGTCTGGAGTGACTTGTAATGCTCTTCATCCTGGGATTGTTTTTACCGACATTGGGAGACATATGAGCATCAACAACAGCTGGGTTGCCAAGGTCTTCCTGCACCCAATACTGTGGCTCTTCCTCAAGACTCCCCGCCAAGGAGCCCAGACCACCATATATTTAGCAGTGAATGAAGACTTGGAGAACGTATCTGGGAAATACTTCAGGTAAGAGAGAAACGGTAATGGAATCTCATAATTAGAAATCTCGGCTTATGTCACCTGATGATTAAACACCCGATAACTACCTAACCAAACCAAATCTTCCATATAGCATTAGTGTTTAATTATCAGGTGAACTAAGCTTATATCACCAACAGTCAGACTAAGAAAACATTACCAATGCTGATATAATAATAAACTTACATGAAATACAAATTCCTCAAAAGAATAATTTAACAAGACCACAATGTTCTCTGTGTGATCAATTCATATATTTTGATTTACAGTAAACTTAAACATTTTAGGATTACACAGAAAATGAAATTACAATATGATAAGTTACATAAAAAGTCACTGTTTGCTCCACATATTGCCATACTGTATAAGGAAAGCTGTTGCGTCATATTGTTTGACACTGTCGGGGTAAAAGTATATGGCCTGACTGTACCCTATATGGCTTACCTGCATTTTCCTCTGGTACACCCTGTATTTTTCTTATGGTACACAACCTATGAGACACCCGGTACAGTACTTTCGTGTAAGAGCATCATCAACTAAAGACGCTTCATCACTCTTACAGCAACAAGACAGAGGCGGGGATGTCAGATGCTGCACAGGACAGGGAGGCCGGCAAGAGCTTTTGGGCCGTCAGTGAAAGCTGGATGCACCTCGCCTGAAACCATACACTTTAATTATTGTAAATTTTCACATACATGTAAATAAATCTCTTTAAATAATATATGGTATTTTATTTATGTATTACAGATGTGGATATGAAGTAGGTGACTGATAGGAGAGCACAGATAGGAGTTATTAATAAGAATGAATGGATGAAACTAAAGTGAGAGGCTTTTGGAGTTTTATATTGCACAGTTTAAAGGAAATCCTGAGACAGTACTTTAGTGAGATGAGAATGGGTGGATTATAGGGAGAGATGTGCAGTGTGTTGTTGAGATGGTGAGACAATACACTATAATTATTAACAGCCACTACTTTATATATGTGAATGTACAGCTTATTAAATTAACATCATATTCATCTATTAACATTAACCTGAATTACGAGACAATAAACTCTGTTTACTTCTTGATTTTCTTAATCTCAGTTCCTAGGAGACAAAGTCTCTGGGGTCGAACTTGGACCCCAGAGATTCCTTTGAGTTATACCAACCATATAGCATTGGACTTTCTGCATATGGGATTAATTCCAATAGAGACTGGCCCGACCCCCAAACTCCACTTTTTCCAACTCAATACCTATGTTCTAGTAAAAATAACATCTTAATTTTATGATGGTACATGCACACAATTAATACTTAAGAGAAATAGAGAAATACAGTGCAAGTTAATGTCCATTCAAATAATGGACTCCTCCCTCTTCTCACACTACACTTCGCTGGCTCTTCCCTCTCTGAGAAATTTTGGGAGAAAACCACTAGATTTTAAGGTATAGTAATAAATAATACCTCAAACTAAAGTTAGAATAATATAATTGACATTGCTGGATTCCTTGTAAGACCAGGAATATTTTGAATATAAATGTCAGATATTTTGCACAAAAGATAACATATTTACTCAGAGTAAACATTATATCTAAAAATTTTTATGTCGAATGCAAAATCTATGTTTATATTCAAAATGATCATCAAATTGTAAGAATTCCAGCAATGTAAATTATATTCTGGCCGGGTAATCACTATTCAAAACCATGATTAGTTTCAGTAATTGATCATGTCCTGTAATTTTAAGTCCTTCCCAGCTTTTATGGCACATACAGTACATAATAGTTACTTCTCTTCATCCCAAACCCTAGACTCCATATGTTATTATTGTATACTGTACTTTTATCCTCTTCACCACTCATCAGCTTGTTAGACATTTGAACGGTCGGTCACGTCTGTTGGCAAGTACTAGGCATGTACTGGCTGTAGAATACAACTGTACCTGCACCAGAGTTGGTCAAGTCTGTCTTGAATGAGCTCACACTTGATGCCGTCACAACACACACTGGAAGATTGTTCCAGTAGTTTACAATCGACCCCAAAAATGATTGCCAACAGTTTTCTGAACTTGTGGCCCCTTGCCCATCTATAGTATAAGCTAGACAAATGCAGGCATTATAATCTTTGGGTAAGTGAGGTGCCATAGTGCAGACACCAATCTGATGGCACTCCTTTGGACATTTGCAATCAACAGACAGTCTCTCATATCTTGGTGACTAGCTGTAACGACTGGTTGAAAAGTTCCAGGTTTCAATATTTCACTTACTCCAAGTGATTAGCCTGTTCGCTGCTTGGGTGGTCTGTTGGCAAGTACAGTACTGCAAGTGTACTTGCTCCAGAATATATCTGAGCCTGGCAGGTTTACAACTTTCTTCCAAAAGTTCTAATAAATTTTATGTGGCTTTAACCTGGGGGCAGTGACCTAGTGTACTGGGTATCTGATAGTCCCAGGTATGAACACTTGAGTCCGAACTGGACAGGTATTTTTCTCCCATTGTGGGATTTGTGCTTGCACAATATGGGTTGTTTGCCTGCCTCACCTTCAGTTGATGGTGCAGAACCCATAAAAAAAAAGCTGGCATTGGCAGGGACGCTTAACTCCCTGGGGCATCTTGCCCTGCTACCTGACACTGGTCACCCCTCCATACACAATTGTTCCAAGGTAATTCCAACCTGAATAAATCATTGTGTTGGGCGTAATATTTCTAGATATTGGACACCAAGCTGTAACATTGGACTATCCTGTAGGTTGACATAGCAATCATAGATGCAACACCGACCGTATAATAATGTTCAGTCTTGCTCTGGCAAATTTTATTGCAGAAGGTTTTGACAAGCACATATTACTGAACCACTAATGAAGGCAATATCATAAACACATTGTCATGGTTACGGTTTCACAATCCCAAATGACTTCCACTTATTCAGCTTTAAGTTTCAGACAAAAATCTCTTAAAAGTTGTCTAGTTATTCAAGACACTAGCATTTATAGTTCTTTGGCTATAAAACTAATGGAATTTTTTTTTGTACAAAAATCTAAAAAAAAAAAAAAAAGGGCTTAAAATTGTTTTACATCTCCTTACACACACAGTGGAGGATGATACTACTATATAATGAAGGTGCTAATGTATAAACAGGATAATTTAAACATAAATTAACAAACAAATTTATTGTAAACATAAGGCAGGTACTGTACACAACACAAGATATTAAACATTATGAATGATGGGAACTTGACCAGATAGTGTCCAGCCAAGTAGTTTGATGAACACAGCTGCTCACCTCACAGGCAGGTAGTTGGGTAGTAGGGTAAGGTAATAGGAGTGGTAGGCAGGAAGGTGGGTAACAGACGTCGGGAAGCATACGACAAGTATGTGGTGCAGGAGGTTCAGCACGAACCCTTCAAGTAAGCAGCTTTGAGAAGATCTTAGGTCCTGCCTCAAGTACACAAATGTGCACCAACATCCTCCAGTAATCTGTTGACAAAAGATTACTCCACATTACCTGAAGGTTTACATACTCACACGTCTCATTACAGATATTGAGATGCATTAAATAGACTCTTTCAGGTTTACATAACAGCAAGTTTCATCAACCCACACATTAATGGATCAATATTTACAGTGAAGCTCTATTTAAGAGGAAACGTGGATGTAAACGAGCATGTTTGACTTTATATGAAAATAAACTTACCAAGTGGTCAGTACTCCAGTGGTACCAAATGGCCACTGCAACATATCAGTGGTACCAGGTGGCGGGTGCCACAGATCAGCAATACCAGGTGGTTCCTGTTAAGACTTTGCTGGCAGACACAAGCAAAGAAAAAAATCACAGCTCTAAACACAAAGGTATGACAATGGCCATGATTAATATTAAAAACATGTTAATAATTCCAGGAAAGTTAATAATGATAGTTCCTGAAGATGAGTAACATGGATAACATAATGTGATGAACACTGGTAATAATTTAGAGAAGTACATAAAAAACAACACTAGAACACTTACTCAGTGGTACTGTACATTGCCTGAAGAAAAAAAAAAACGTGTGAGAAAGAATTGGTCAAGAGTTGGATTAGTGTTAGGTACAGACAAGCTGGGACAACAGCAAAGGTACCTGTGATGTGTGGGCCGGGGTGTACTGTATTAAGTCAGTCAGAGCCCTCTCAGCGGAGGCAGTCCGGACAATTAGAGGAGGCGGGGCCCTACAGCCAGAATACAAGGCTCCTCCCAGCTATTGGTATAAACAGAATGTATTCAAGCAAATCTAAGATGTAGACCTCGACCGATGCGAGGAAAAGAAAAATATACCTCGACCGATGCCATGGTAAGCCTCGACCGATGCCAGGGAAAAAGAAAATACCTTAACGATGCCATGGTAAAAAGACCTCGACCCGTGCCAGTAAAAACAAGACTGGCCGATGCAGGAAAAAATACCTCGACCGATGCCATTGTAAAAAAAAAACCTCGACCCGATGCCGGGGTAAAAAAAAAGACCTCGACCGTATGGGGTAAAAACAGGCCGACCGATGCCAGGAAAAAGAAAGACTGAGCCGATGCGGGAAAAAAGGGCGTGACGATGCCATGGTAAAAGACCTCGACCGATGCCATGGTAAAGAGCCTCGACCGATGCCAGGGTAAAAACAGACCAACCCGATGCCGGGGTAAACAGACCGGCCGATGCCTGGGTAAAGGCCTCGACCGTGCCTGGGTATCTCGACCGATGCCTGGGTAAAAAAAAAAAAGACCAACCACAAAGACCGTTCTGACACGGCAGAAACAAACGGTGTGACTGGTAAAAATACAATAAATAAATAAATAAAATTTGCTTATGCAGGAATCTGTCCCACACCAGCACAACCCTCCGGAGTTCTCATCCACCCCATCCTGTACCCATCACCCACCCACATCCTATCCTCACCAAGTAACTCCCACTACTCTACAAGTACACCATCTACAGAAACTACACACAATACTACTTAATATTAGTTCACTACATTTACCACTACAATACATACTTGTTATACTGTATTCTAGACTAAATAACAATATATACAGTACATGCTATACCACCACATACTTCAACATACTATACTAGTTATACATATATACTCCTATACAGGTAATACAGTTATACATTTATACACAGCTACCATACACTTGTATACACACAATACTACTACAGTACTATACACACAGCTACCATACACTTGTATACACACAATACTACTACAGTACTATACACACAGCTACCATACATACAATACTACTACTACAGTACTATACACACAGCTACCATACACTTGTATACACAATACTACTACTACAGTACTATACACACAGCTACCATACACACAATACTACTACAGTACTATACACACAGCTACCATACATACAATACTACTACAGTACTATACACAGCTACCATACACACAATACTACTACTACAGTACTATACAATACCATACACAATATACTACAGTACTATACACCAGCTACCATACACACAAATACTACTACAGTACTATACACACAGCTACCATACATACAATACTACTACTACAGTTTCCTGCACCATACCCTATAATACTACTATTTATACACACAGCTACCATACACTTGGTACATACTACTACAGTTACTATACACACAGCTACCATACACACAATACTACTACAGTACTATACACACAGCTACCATACATCAATACTACTACAGTACTATACACACAGCTACCATACCTTGTATACACATACTACTACAGTACTATGCACACAGCTACCATACACACAATATACTACAGTACTATACACAGCTACCATACACAATACTACTACAGTACTATACACACAGCTACCATACACACAATACTACTACAGTACTATACACAGCTACCATACATACAATACTACCTACAGTGCTACACACACCTACCATACTTGTATGCACAATACTACTACTAGTACTATACACACAGCTACCATACATACAATACTACTACTACAGTACTATACACACAGCTACCATACACACAATACTACTACAGTACTATACACACAGCTACCATACACACAATCCTACAGTACTACACACAGTACCATACACAATACTACTACAGTACTATACACACAGCTACCATACACACAATACTACTACAGTACTATACACAGACTACCATACATTGCATACACAATACTACTACAGTACTATACACACACGCTACCATACACAATACTACTACAGTACTATACACAGCTACATACACACAATACTACTACTACTACAGTACTATACACACAATACCATACACTTGTATACACAATACTACTACAGTACTATACACACAGCTACCATACACACAATACTACTACAGTACTATACACAACTACCATACACTTGTATACACAATACTACTACTGTTGCTATACACACAGCGCTACCATACACACAATACTACTGTGCTATACACTGGCTACCATGCCTTGTATACACACACAATGCTGTGTTGATTACCACGCAACACACCACACACACAACACACACACATCCGCAACACACCACACACACACCAACACACAAACACAACATACTGCACACACAAATGCAACACACCACACACACACACAACACACCACACACACACACACACGCGCAACACACCACATACACACACGCGCAACACACCACACACACACGCGCGCGCAACACACCACACACATACGCGCGCGCAACACACCACACACACAACACACCACACACAAACACAACATACTGCACACACAAACGCAACACACTGCACGCACACACACACACAAATGCAACATACCGCACACACACACAAACGCAACATACCGCACGCACACACACAAACACAACATACCGCACGCACACACACACAAACTCAACAAACCGCACACACACACACACACACAAACACAACATACCGCATGCACACACACACAGTTGCTCATAAATCACAATGATTCACATTAACTGGACCTTAAATTCTTACCATTATTTTGTTGGAATTGCTGTTGATTGTAGTAATCATCATCAGCCATCATCTTTGTCAGTGTTGGATCCTCCTGGAGGTTCCTGCCGCCAGAATAAGAATATATAACATTAACACCTACGTTCTGTTACATCTGGTATTACACAAATGATTCATCAACTGCTTAATGGATGAGATGACCAGATACTGTAATAAATGCCAATGGTTAATTCAGTTACTGAAAGTCCTCACTAAGGCTTTACCAAACTCAAAATAATGTGGGGAAAGATATCGTCGCTGTACACCTGACAAAAAAGATAATGGTAATGTACTGCACACACCTGTCAGTTGGTAGATGATCGATCCATTTTTTTAATTTTAGTCTCACAGCCAAGCACTGGAGCTAACCGTCCATCCATCACTGCCAGTTGATACAGTGTGGTCCAGTCGGCATTTTTTTTTTTTTTTTTTTTTTTTTTTTTTTATCTCTTTCACCACTAGCAGTAGATCTACCACACGTCTGTGGATTGTCTTCTAGCAAAACTCTGATAGAGCATTTCATCTGTAGAAATAATATCGTGTTATTCATTATCTATATGCGTAGGATGGCTAAAGTAAGGACATCTACAGTATATTTATAAGATAGATCATGAGAAATAGTGAAGCAGCTGCTGACCTGATACACCTGGTGCTGTGCTTAATCCACTTAGGCCATCATGTGTCCTCAAGACACTGATGGGGAGCTTCTGCATCCAACATGGGTTTTAGCATCCCATCTTGGCCTCCATCACTTGACCCTGCAAAATACCATTAGCTTGAATATAATTTTCCTCAGTTTATAATACAAATAACACTTGAACATTAGGTCGTCATCTTGTAAGAAGTAGAGGAGGTTAAGAGATTACTTTAAGCCAGTGGTAATTAAACAGAAGGATGATACGTCAGCTACTCGATTTTAATTTGTTTCCTTATTAGCATTTACAATAAACATGCTTATCCTGCTGGAGTCTGGTATAAAGGTTTCAAGTAACGTGGGGTAAGAGGAATGGTGTGTGACCCTGGCCTACTGTGTGTATGCAATTCATTCACGACAGTACACAAAGACCTTCCTACACAAGTGATAGTTTTATAACGTACGAAACTGATTTATTGACCTACCAAAAATATGTGGTGAAAAATTAAAGGAACAATACTGTAAGGATAAGACGACATGAAACTACCTTCAGTAATCCTGGAGGTCTCCTAGGTCCATTTTTATCTTATTTTTTTCTTTTATCCTCTTCACCACTGATCGGCTCGTTAGCCGCTTGGTCACGTCTCTGTCATGCACTGTTGGCAAGTACTAGTCACATGTACTGTCTCTGTTACAGACTGACGCCACCACCAGGACCCTCCACATCTTGCCGCAGTAGATCTGCTTCTACAACGTCTGTGGATTGTCTTCTCTAGCAAACTTCAGAGTAGACATTTTCATCTGTAGAAATAATATCGTGTAAGTTATTCATTATCTATATGCGTAGGATGGCTAAAGTAAGGACATCTACAGTATATTTATAAGATAGATCATGAGAAATAGTGAAGCAGCTGCTGACCTGATACACCTGGTGCTGTGCTTAATCCACTTAGGCCATCATGTGTCCTCAAGACACTGATGTGGAGTTTCTGCATCCAAGATGGGTTTTAGCATCCCATCTTGGCCTCCATCACTTGACCCTGCAAAATACCATTAGCTTGAATATAATTTTCCTCAGTTTATAATACAAATAACACTTGAACATTAGGTCGTCATCTTGTAAGAAGTAGAGGAGGTTAAGAGATTACTTTAAGCCAGTAGTAATTAAACAGAAGGATGATACGTCAGCTACTCGATTTTAATTTGTTTCCTTATTAGCATTTACAATAAACATGCTTATCCTGCTGGAGTCTGGTATAAAGGTTTCAAGTAACGTGGGGTAAGAGGAATGGTGTGTGACCCTGGCATACTGTGTGTATGCAATTCATTCACGACAGTACACAAAGACCTTCCTACACAAGTGATAGTTTTATAACATACGAAACTGATTACAACCACCTCTCAATTTATACAGTACAGTAGTTACGTGTTTTGTGATTGGCTGTGCAAGTCAAAAACGTATTTCAAACTTAATTATCCCATAAAAAATTAAGGATATGGCAGGGGCGAGGGAAAACGCCCTCTAAAAACTGTACAGTATTTTGTTTCTCTATTTCCATCAATATGTTTTATACTTTATACATTAATTCAATAATAGAAAGACCAAATAATACAGTAATAAAATTTTTTAATTTAAGTGAAAATTTATGTTGAATGATGGCTGTGGGAACTAGTGGTGGTGGAGGGTTACTGGGGAAGGGAGTCAGATGACAGCAGGTGATGGGGGAGCTTTCCAGATGTCAATGGCTCAGGTGACACTACTTTTTTTTTTGTAAGGCAAGAAAGCAACGAGGTACTCTGCCCGGTGAAATGGCGTTCTTTTCAAAACCGTGCTATTCAAAAAAGCTTTGTGTTACAGTATTTTAAAAACAGGTATCAATTTAATACTTCAGTAGTGAGATTTCAAAAACCTTCAAATTAATCTATGTAAATTGAGAGGTGACTGTACTGACCTGCCAAACAGTACAAAAAAAAAAAAATGGAAGGATATGATGACATAAAACCAAAGAACAAAACCTTCAGTCATCCTGAGAGCCATCTAGAGCCATCTAGGGCCATATTGGTACCCTACATATAGGGTCCAACTCTTCTAACTTCCTCTGCATCCAGCACGGCCCCACGTCCAGCACGACCCCACGTCCAGCACGACCCCACGTCCAGCACGACCTTGTGAAAAAAATAAGCGTTAAAATTCTTGATACAATATCCGATTTTAATTATATTTTCTATGTAGTTTAATGTTATTTTACACCTCATCTGTCTAAACCAGGTCTGAATAATGAAGCAACAAAGATAATAGTTCAGTGGCAGAGTATTCAGTTCATAAGGGCATCATAGGAAGGTATTACTTGTGGTATAATAACACTTCTCACATAGAAGTACAATATCTACCAAGATCCATAATAAACTACAGTACTAAAGACGACATCATTTAACAAATTTGTTGGTGTTGCATTGGTAGTGTGCATGCCTCTCACCACTGTTTTTTGGGTTCAATCCCCAGCTGGGTTAAATGTGAGAAGTGTGTTTACCCATATGATCCACCAGACGTGGCAGGTTTTCTAAATTAGTAAATATGAAAGAATAACATAAGAAGATTCAAGGGACAGAAACCAAATACTGTAGTATAAAGGTTGGCAGATACACACAGATATAAGCATGACTGGAGGGAGAAAAAGTTACCTGAAAAATATGAAAAAAACAGCCGATAACTTGCTGGGGATCTTCTCGGAATTCCTGGAGCACCTTTGGCAACCCCGAGTAGTTATGAAAACTACACACATCCGTTGGAACTTTGGCAGTCTAGGAGCGCCGTGGAGCTCAAAGGCAGCCTTCCGGACCTCGGGAGTTTCAGGGTACCATTTAGTTTTCCAGGAAAACCTCTGCTTCCCAACAAGCCTGCAACTCCGCAGTAGCATCTTGAACTGGGAAGGTCCTCTGCTCCTCTTCTGCCATCATCCCCTGTAATAAACTAGTGGTAAAACACACTGGCATCCAAAAATGACCTAGACTTCCAAGTCATCCGTTTAACTGACTACTCGACTTTATGTAAGAGATCCAAGTAAATGGATCAAAGTTCCTTATGATAGATCAAACCCACAACATAGAAATGTTTTCTCCACAAATTAGATCCCACTTTCAGAGAACATGAAGCTAAAAGGCACAACCTTTGTAGAGACGAGTTAAGGACCACATGTTTAGTCACCCCACCTTATTTCACCTAATTCAGAATATTATTATCTGTAAAGGAAATTTAAGTCAAGTTGACAAGCGTGTTTAGTCAAATAGGTGAGCCAAGGTGTAATACCGTCACATAACCCAAAGGCAGCGTTAACATAAAAAAATTAAATCGTACCGGGAAGACGTCAACGGCGAAGCTCATAACCCATGATTAACGGGAATGCCTTTCACCAGAGACTCTTCAGCACTTGTAGACTTCATTGCGTGTCTCCGGCATTCTTATAGGACGATTAGCATCTCAATCGGGGCTTTATTCACAGGGTCATCTTTCCTGTAAGAAAAGTTTGCCTCATAAATATAGATATGGTCAACCAATTAGGAATTTCTTTTGATTAATTTTTATATTCCACATATTTCATATTAGGTTAAGAAATGAATAACTTTATATCACTTCAGATAATATTAAACATTATACGTTCATTCATACATTTACACACCCAAACATTACCACTCACTTCACTCAACCACACAACACATTTCAGCTTAATTCATTCACTCAAACACACAACACAGTAAACTACGTACTCAAACACACCACACAGTAAACTACGTACTCAAACACACCACACAGTAAACTACGTACTCAAACACACCACACAGTAAACTACGTACTCAAATACACCACACAGTAAACTACGTACTCGACCACACCACACAGTAAACTACGTACTCAAACACACCACACAGTAAACTACGTACTCAAACACACAACACAGTATAGTACATTATACATTTCAGCCCAATTCAATAACACAACCAGACGATACTATCCATCATAATGTTTCCACTCCAATCAACCACACACAACAGGTGATACATACAGATGTTTACTCTTCCTGAGAAACTACAGTATATGCTAATTCCTGAAATACATCTACATACAGTACATGCTAACTACAGTATATGTTAATTCCTGAAATACATCTACATACAGTACATGCTAACTACAGTATATGCTAATTCCTGAAATACATCTACATACAGTACATGCAAACTACAGTATATGCTAATTCCTGAAATACATCTACATACAGTACATGCAAACTACAGTATATGCTAATTCCTGAAATACATCTACATACAGTACATGCAAACTACAGTATATGCTAATTCCTGAAATACATCTACATACAGTACATGCTCACTACTGATCTACAACTAAATTACAGTACTGTATTAGTCCATTTATAGATATACATTCGAAAAACTACATTAACGAAGGTGAATGGACGCTTATTAATCCCTATGGGCGGTGACGAGGGGACTCACGTGGCAATTACACAGTTTGTTCATGATGTTGAGTAGACACGTATGGAACAATTTTCAGTTTGTTCATACAGCTGGAGATAAGCGGATATAGTTTGTTCATACTACATGATATTAGCGGATAGAACGAGACATTATACCGTGTTCATTTGTTATAGCGCTGGATATTATGGATGGAGCAATTTTCAGTTCGTTGACAGTTGTACAGTATAGTTATGGCTGCGTATACTACAGTACAAGCCATAATATATTCAGGGTTTGTCAGTACTGTATATCTGTGGGGGAAAAACTGGATGGATACATTATAAACATTTGAATCCTGCAAAACAATACCTAAGGTGTAATAATTAGAGAAATGTTAAGTAATTTATAACCTAGAACACCTGAGACCATTGCACCAAGCACCAGTTAATTCATTCAACTGGAAATGAAGAAAGTTTGTATAAAAATATTCCTGTAAATAATACCTGTACTTGCAATTCATAAACAATAATACACATTTTACCTGCAACATTAACACAAAACGTACATTGGTTAGTTTTCATTCTTGCAATTTGTTACAAAACCTGAATGAAACAAAACCTTAAGACTGCGAGTGATATGTAGCAGGGGTTCAAGTCCTGGCCAGGGCTTGAAGGTTGTTATCCAGTGTAAACATTCTACCTTTCCACTGGGTAAGTTTATAGCAAGATAACAGATTAACCACCCAATCAGTGGTAAGTGGTGACATTAGCATACAACAATGGGACAAAACAATAAGGAAACCTGTAATATGAATGATTATAAAGGATTACAGAAAAACATGTCAGTCAATCAGTCAGTCAGTCAAAACATCTTAATCTAAAACCAAGAATAAAAGATTGTTCCGATTAAAATTCACAAGTGGCTGTAACGTTGAAATTCCCAGGCAATAACGTCAATAATAGGCCAATTCGACCAGACACAAGAAGCCATCATTAAATGGCGTCCACTTGATGTCTTTCTCACTACCAAATTCAAAACACTCGAGATTTTGCATTTATTATATATCGATGGTTATTGTGGCAGGCGTCTTTATTTTGAATATTTACTAATTTCTGGGTTGTTAGAGGCGGAGGAGGTAGGAAGGACTACTTACGGTGAAGGGTGGTTGGTGACTGAAGGGTGGTTGGTGACTGACGCGGCGGACACTGGACTGAAGCGAGATTATCTTCACGAGGGCTTCAGCCGGCGACTCCTTCCTCAACACTCTCAACCATCTTGATATTTAGTTAAATTCGAAAAGACGTGATGGTGGGGCAAATTATATCCAGAAATATTTTAATAATACTATGGTGTATAGTATATTAAGAAAATTGACCATATTAGGTTTGTCTACTTGTTGCCCAGGATAGTTACCGACTGTCAATGAATTAATTACTGTATGTTTAAAAGTTTTTGTTTCATAAATAGAGTAAATTTAAAGACTCATTACCATGAAGTAGAATAATATATATATATATTTTTCATAGAAACGTGAATGTAACATCATACCAGAACCCGTAACCGAAACGAGTCATGTTTCAGAGTCATGAAGCCTGAACCATCTGAAGCCTGGTGGTCACGTCAGCGAGGATTTGTCTAAGAATGAAAGAAAATACAGGAATTTAGGAAGTTGGGAAAATAGGAAAATACTTATGGATAAATGTTAATAATAAGGCTGTTAAGTTTTTTAATTGAGATTAATTAACTGATACTTATGTCTTCATCCATGGACAGGTATACCGCTGGCTAACAAGGTGACCAGTAGGGAACGAGATTTAGGTAAAATAATTAAAATACAGTAATTATACAACCTGTTGCCTGCATGTAGAGGCATAAGGTACCAGACTACATCCACTATCATATCGTTGCCTGTACTGGAAAGAAAATTATTAACGGTTAATAAAATTCACTATTATTGCATACCTCTCAACGATAAATTATTATACTAATAATCTTTATGATTCTTAAATGTAGAAATATGCCTAGATACTTGTAATTATGTGATATATGGGATAATTTGACCATAAATAACGTTGTTGTTTGTACTATGAAAAACACTGAACTTGTTTTGAATGTTAAAGTCTCTGTTAGTTCACCATATGGCTGGTGTAAACTGTATTTATAACTTTAACACTAAATTAATGTTGATTTTTCAGATTATATGATCTTAAATCAATTCCATGTAGTAATTATTGTCTATTATGGTATGTTTTTATTATTACAATGTTAAGTTAGGAGAGGTTAGTGAGGGTGTGTACTGAGCCTTGGGTGGCATTAGTGAGCTGGTCTGACAACACGCTCAACCTCACTTAACTTACACCATATAATATTTCTTGTTCTTTTACGGTTTAGAGGACAACTGTGATCGATAAAACCAGGTGTTAGGACGCCCATATTGTAGTGGAGAAACGGAGGGACGTCTGAAGTGAAGTCAATGACAAGTAAAGTGAGTGTGGAGGAAGAGACATTAAAGGGAGCCACGACTCTCACACTACTACTGCCTCCCTGGTGTTCCTTACGTGAGTACAACATACACTGTTATAAGTTCATTCCATTATAAACCTCAAGAGAAAGTGTAATGATCATCACCTGTTGTGCACCACGTTAAAGAGGAAGGTTTAATCGGTGTTCATGAGCTACCGGTACACATCTGTGGGATCCAGACGGCCTTATACAGGTAATTAAATTATCCATTAAATAAACTGACTTGTAAAGTATGATACAGGTCACGCAGGTCTCAGGTGATTAAGGTTCATCTACAGATACATTATACATTACTGTTGCCTTTCCGCCACTAGTCAGCTTATTAACCTGTCAGGTACTTGGTTCTCTGGTACATGTTGTTAACAGGTATGGCTCTGTTACACACTGTTGATGACAGGTGGGAATATGTGTTTAGCTAAGAAATGATCTTGACCTCTGGGCTACATTCTGCCAAATTTCTTCTGATAAAACTTAGGATTTCCTAATAATGTGTTTTGTTTATGTGAAGTTTGTTTCTAATTAAAGGTACCATACATATTTACTGTATTTTGAGGGTGAATAAATACTTAGTAATCTTATCTAAGCTCTCAAACTACAGGGAGGTATATTTAAAAGTGATTGGTTCAATGATAAGGATTGACGTATGAAAAATTGGGAAAATTTAAGATCACCTGAAGACTAGACACCTGCATATTTCACCCAAATGCTCGTCTAACTGAACTTAATCTAACCAACCCTAACTTAATCAACCTACCCCCTCAGGCGGTCAATAATTACCCAAATGTAGCTTCGCAATGAAGTCAAATAATGGTCTACATGAATAAATCGGACTGCTAATCACTTCTCGACAGTATTTGGTGTCAGAAAGTCACAACAAATTAAAACTCACTAATCTGGAGTTAATAGATGCGTGCATGTACCCGGCGGGCGAAATTACAATGTAGCCTCAATGAAGTCAAATGATGGTCGACTGGCGTAATTCAGGCTGTGAATCACTTCTCGATTATTATTTGGTGTCATAAAGTAAAAAAATTGGTAAACTTAATTTAATCTGAGTTGTGTTGTGTTAGGTTAGGTTAGATTAGATTAGGTTAGGTTCATGCACTTGATCTATTAACTCAGATTAAATTAAGTTTACAATTTTTGTGACTCGTTGACACCAAATACTAGTCGGGTTAGGTTAGGTTAGGTTAGGTACATGCACTCGATCATAACTCAGATTAAATTAAGTTTCAATTTGTTGTGACTTTTGTGACACAAATACTAGTCGAAGTGATTGGCAGTCCGATTTATTCATCTAGGACCATTATTTGACTTCATTCGGCTATATTTGGTACATTTGGAATTAGTGGACCCCCTCGCAGGTAGCATTATTGTATTTAATCATCATGTGAAATAAGCTGGAAGGTTAATTAGAATCTTCAGATAAAAGAATTATTATTATTATTTTTATATAATATTTGTATTATATTTCTATCAACCTGGCAATATTATAATGGCGTTGACTGTTCCAGGATGGCTGAAGTACTGACCGTCGTGGCAGAGGAGATGGGACGGGTGTTTGGTATGGTGTGGAGTGGTGTCGGGGTTGCAGTACGTCTCAACAACCAAGTGTATGAGCACAGTCTTTAAAGCAGCCGCTCGCATCGTACAGCTTCTCTTGCTCCTCACACACAAGGTTATATACGACTCTGAATCACTATTTTTGGGATGTGAATAAATGGCATTAGTTGTACATGAAGATTAGGCACCTCAGCTTATTGGACTTGTAGATTAACCACCCTAATGGTACCTGATGGTTAGGGTAGGGTAGGTTAGCATTAGGTTGGTTAGTCTTCTGGTGAAATATGCTGAGGTGTCTAATCTTTAAGTCTTTATTAATATTACAGCCTCAATATTAGGCTTTAAAATTCACCCACAAGGCAGTAGTGATCCAAGGTTTAAAATCAAATACTTGTACGTAGTTGGTAGTTTTACCCATATGAAGTTGTCAATAGGGAGAGAGATAGACAGATGGGGTAAATATTATTATTGGTATTTTTATTATTTTATGTTCCTCCAGGCTGCTGATCTGTTGTCATTGTTGGTGACTGACCTCATGCTCTTCCTCGGGCGTGGGTGGTGCCGTGCTGGCAGTAGGTGTCGGGCTACAGACTGGAGTGATGACGATCTTTAACTTTGATAGTGCCGTTTTCTTCGGCATCATTTCTGCTGCCGTCTACTCGTGCCACCTCGTCCGGGTTTCGTACTGCGCCATCATCTCTGCAGCGATGACTGTGATGGTGCAGCTGGGGAACTTCATCACTGCTCTCAAACACGCCTTCATCATGTTTGGGTGCGTGGTGTTAAGTAAATTGACCGTGCCCAACTTGGTGTGCCTCGTGTTCATGGGTCTGGTGCATCTCAGTTGGTACATTTATCTTAGTTGTAGTCAAGCAGTAAACAATGTGTGGTTGTCATTGCACTATATCACCAGTTTGTGTTATTCTGCCATTGTCAGTTTCCTTTATGACATACCTCTTGAGGCAGTAGTAAACATGATTTTGGTCCCGGACATGCCGATACCGTCATTGTTTGTTATGATGCGACAGCGCTTCATTCGCTGGCGGCCGTGGTGCGGCAGCTCACGAGAGACGCCCGGTGGATGTTGACACGGAGGAGGAAGAACTCGACGATGCCAACGATGAGAACGGTAACGATAATAATGATAACGTGCCCGACCTCAATCTACCTCAAGATCAGTTCTTTGCTCAGCAGATGAATATGCCTAATCCAGTTCTCAACCAAATGGATGATCCTGCTGTCCAGCCATTGTTGAATGAAGCTGAAGTTCCCCAGAACCCACCACTTGCTCCACTTATGCCTGCGGGCCTTGCAAGACCGCCCCTCGCCCGTCAGCGTTTAGTGACGAGCCTCAACAGCCGAGACATTGCCCCTCGGCCAGAATGTAGTCTTTCACCGATCAAGGGCGGACGTGAATCCACCAATAGGGTAGATGGCCAAGCTTACCAACTCTATAGAGAGTTAGAACAAGAGCGCGAGGGTCGTCTGTGTATCGTGTGCCAAGACCAAGTTAAGTGCGTCATTTTGTTGCCGTGTCGTCACCTGTGTCTGTGTGACGCTTGCCGCTCAGCCATCATTACCAGGGACAACATCTGCCCAGTGTGCCGTAGACCCATCATGGAGACTCTGAGGGTGTACGTCTGATAGTGTGTGTGTGTGTGTGTGTGTGTGTGTTTTATGCTGTTATGAATATGTATCTTGCCTCAGTACAATACTGTACAAGTTATAGGACAAGTTTTCTTCCAGAATCAGAGTACTGTACTGTATGGTACATTTGGTCTTAAAGCCCAAACTTAACTACATGCCTTGAACACCTTACAGTTAAAACACTTCCATTTAATAGCAATGAAACCCTAATTTATTGATACTTTATTATAGATACATTAATTAAAAGGTTTCTGAACTTTGCATAACAAAGAAAATTCATTTGGGTTGAGGAAAACTTCAAAGTCCTGTTTTATTGTGAATCTAAAGAAGTCGGCCTGATCGTTGAAGCCGTTTCTCATAAACACCTGGAACAACACGAGAAAAATTGGTGGAGTTAATTTTGATACATATGTTTTTAAATACAGTCGAGTGGAAGATTGTGTTATCGGCGTGATGGTTTACGTACCAGAAAAAGTCCCCATTGAAGAAAATATTGAAACATCAGCCGTAGAATGGTTAAAACGCGTAACCATGATTTTAAGATCTTTTGTTAATTTTTATACGATGATTGATTTATTGTGTCATTTTACCTGTATTGTTTTTCAGCAAACTAATAATAGTACAAGAGTAAAGATTATATTGTATAAGAAGAATCACATCATATTTATTGTCAGTTTCATGGGATCATTTGTCGTTGATTAAAATGATAGTGTGGCCTGAGTCAGTGTGGCCTGAGTCAGTGTAGCAGGTCTTGTCTTGTGTGGTGGTTGGGTGTTGGAGACACAGTGGGAGAAAAAAAGGGTGATTTGAGTTAGGCGCGCAGGACGTCGACTGTACCTGAGACAAGAAAAGTGAACCATTATATAAAGAATGTGACACCGCGACGAAAAATAGTCGATGTGACCAAAGGAACTCCGTGGTTGATGCCCCCTTATGACTGTTTGGGGGAAGCTTTAGGGTTAAGCTCCAGTCATAAAACTAAGCATCAAGTTGGAATTGATTAGGTCTTCAACCTAATTTACTAACAGTGCTTCCATGAACAACCTGAGATGGGCGTTCTTGATTCTTTTTTGCTCATTAGGTTATTGCAGTGGTCAGAGAACTACCTTACTCTGGGTTAGATGAAATAGATTTAGTAAAGGGAAAGATGGAACAGTAGGTTAAGGGAAGAGTATTGTGGGAGGAGGTGTAAGGGGGATAGAGGTGTCATAAGGAACTTGTGTTGATAGGGTGGTTCAAGGTATTGGATCATATGAAGTTTAGCACCCATAGTTATTCCACCTAATCATTAAACACCTTAAACCTAGTTAAACCTAACTTAATCTCCCGCAGGTAGTGTTATTTTGTTTCATCGTGAGGTGAAATGAGCTAGGGAGGGTTTAATCTTCCGAGGATTTAAGATATTCATTTGTAATTATCATCTTTTCTTTTGTGTATGGAAATTTGGCAATTATAGAAAAGAATAAACATTGAATATTTCTGAGACTTGGGTCACTGTTGTATGTCGGAGAAGAACGCGATGTTTTTGTGGTAATAATCTCAAAGTATTACGTTGTGTACCTGATTTGTTTCACTGATGTGTTATTTTCATTAATATGTGACTTTGTTCATATAGAGTTTTGTGTAATATTTGATTTTACATAGAGTAGATTCCAGGTCAAATGGACCCCACATGACCTGACCATTAGGACTCGACCGCAGTCTAAATGGTTAGGTGACGGATAAGATTGTAATCCATTTGGCAATTTGCTCTATAAAACCCATTATGTATTGTCAGAGTTTTCCCCAAGTTTATTTTGGTTCATTCTAATTTAAAACCGTCGACTCTCCCAGAACTTTTCATATATGTATAAGGTAAAAGATGTGATCAATCGGCGATGTACACAGATGCGTTCTTTGGTATATTGGATAGCATGTAAGGAGGTTCCAATACTTAATGCTTTTGTTTATTGGAACCTGAAGTGGGGTGTGTCGAGGATATTGGTTGTGTCTGTAAAGGTTGTCAACGGTCTATTACTTGAGCTGAGTTTTTTAAATTTATTGTATGGTATGTACAGTATTTTCTTAAGAGAATGAAGTGTATTGTCTTATTTTTAAATAATCAAGCTAAGTTCATATAAAATTCAAGAAAATTAAGCTTACTGTATCTACTTTTCAAACAATTAAGCTGAGTTCACTTAATCCCCATGCAGAATTAAGCTTATTGTATCTAATTTTCAAACAATTAAGCTGAGTTCAATTAATCCCTTTGCAGAATTATTGTCTCTAATTTCCAAACAGAATAATCTGATATGTGTCACAACTTTTCATAAGCTTTACATAAAATATGTTTTGAGAGAAAGATTATTTGTATATGAGTAATTGAGGAAAGCTGGAACCAGGGAGTACGATTTTTTAAGCTGTCCGTCAAGCTTGTTTGGTGTTTAATATCGTCCCTGTTAGTATTTTTTATGGAAGATCCTCAGTGTTAAAGCTTTCCAATATTGATATATGTCTGATAGAAATTTTTTTTTTTTGAGAAGTTGTTGTTCATGAAATTGGGATGATCTGTTCTTGGTACTGTATTGGACTGGACAAAATTGAGATGATGTGTTGTGGGTACTGGACAAAAATTGAGGTGGTGTATTCTGGGTATTGGACAAAACTGCATAATGAAATAGAAATGGTGTTCCTGAGTGACACTGCAAGAATTATAATACCCCACCAATAGACTGTTTAGGGTCATGTAGGACTGTGTTAGTCGTGTCCGTCTGTACAAAAATTTGTTACCAATCATCACCTTGTGGCAGGTTTTGAAGATAAAGTGAATGGCTCATGTGAAGATTAGCAACCCCAGTTAACAGTACAGGATTACCATTGATTATACCCTGATACTAACCTAACCTATCCTATCCTATCCTGTCCTAACCTTATCTAACCTCAACTTCACATATCCTAAACCTAATCTGTATATGAGATACTCAGAATGTACAGTACTTTATGAATCACTGGTAAGGTAAATAATAACTATTCAGGTACTGGAATATATGTGAGGTGGATAATGACGTCCGTAATATTCAGAAGAAAATATAAGTGACGTAAGAGATATTCTGCGAGTCTTTATTTGTTTATATCTGCCCGTCTACTTATGTGTCTCTCTCTCACCAAGTTGGAATATGTCTTTCCTTCCAATTGGCTGCCATACATTTGTGTGTGAACTAATGGACACCGTGTACATGTGTGTGTGTGTGTGTGGGGAGGGGGGGTTTGTCCTTCCTCGCCCAATTCCTGTAAGCTTGATATAGTGTTTTAAATTCAGCTAGGATTAAACTTGATAAGAATGTTTGGATCACCTGAATATTAGACACCCCAGTTATGTGGGTCTTATTCCTTTGTGGTACATACTATGAATCATTTCCCATCACTTTCCTTCTCATTTCGTCTCGTTGTTGGGGGATTGTGGGGCCCCTTGATCCACGCCACATGGGAGAGGAGTCTGTTTATTGGTTGGTAGACTATGATAACACAAGACCTTAGAATGTTGCTGGTAATTGATGTATTTGTGTCATGAGATGTTATGTTTAAGATGCCAAATCAAATTAAGATTAGCTCCCAGATTATTTCACTGGAAGATAAATCACCGTAATGCTAACCTAACGTAACATACCAGTAATGAAACCTAATTCAACTTAACATAATTTGACATAATATTTCCCAGTCTACCCCCAGATAATATTAATGTGTTTAATCATCAGGTGAAATAATCTGGGTGACTAATCTTCATGTGAACCAAAATACCTGTTGTGCAGTGAGAATATATATACAGTACCTTGTTGAGCTGTACCATTCCTTTAAGTATGTGATAAACTAATTGATATCATAAATTAATTTGTCTTCTGATATAAACTCTTCCTTTTGACAGTCGAGGCAAGATGCAGTGAGTCTTTTAAGAGTGTGTTGTCTTGCCTTGTAAATTGTGGCACTGTTGATTGTGTGTGGTAATGTAAGACCCCCAGCGTTAACCACACACTACAGCACAGTGAGGTAATGTCAGGCTACACACCTTTATAATGTTTGTGTATTTTACTTGTATTCTTGTCTTTATTGGTAGTGGTAAAATTTCTTGAGTGAAGGAAATTTCTTGGTGTATGACTGAGACTTGTTTTAAAAATGACCTCGCTGCATCAGAGATCTAGACGGGAAGATGAACAGTAGGGTTTTAAACCAGCTACCAGCCACACTGACCAGTTTAAGTGATGTCCGGGCCAGTTAGAATTATTCCTAGAATGAATTCTTTGTGTATCTGACAATAGAAATATTATCAACTTTGCTTTAGGTAATCAATTAACATATTTGTATTTATTTACGTAATTGAAAAGAGCTGCTGTATTAGTTAATTTATCTAGGTTAAATTAGCATTAGGTTAGTGTTAGTTTAGGTTAAGTTAGTGTTAGGTTAGGTTATGTTATTGTTAAATTTGATTTGGTAAAGCACAGATCCCCTCAATCCAAGCTTGTGCAAATCCTCTTGGGTCTCGGTGAACATCTAGTGAAGGCTCAGGAACAGTGTCAGTTTGTGCAGAAGTTGTTGTGAAGATGTGTACTGTACAGGAGGAACTGTGGAAGTATATATAGTGACTCAAGGATCGGGCTTTAACAGTAGAACACCACATGGACGAAGGTAAAACAGTCCTCGCAAAATAATAAACAGATTTACGAATTAGAGTAAGAGAGAAAGATTTGCATACAAGGGTAGAAAGTTCGTTTTGAAAGGCTGAAGGTAAGCAGAGCCAAGAGTTAATAAGCTAAACAGAGTTGAAGTTGAGAATGAATGAAATGGATTATAGTAGAATATAATTGATGATAGAAGGGAGAATTTTGTGATAGAAGAGGAAAAGGAAGAGTTTTATAGACCAGATAGGTATAATTCTCAGTAAGAGGAGCTGGTAAGGTGTGGATATATTTTACTAGGTAGTACCAAAGAATTGAGCTGGGATCATAATGCCTTTGATATATATTTCAGTATAAGAGATAAGGAAGATGCTTGTCTAGTCTTGCTTCACCAGATCAAATATTACCTTACTTTACCCAAGTCCCAACACTGCTTGATCTAAACTAACTGAACCTACAAGAGACTCAGCTATGTGTGCTGTCCGAGTGGATACCGAGAGCTTGAGCATTAGGATGAACGTGATTTTGACGTTCTAAGTGGTCGCGGAGAGTTCGGCTGAATAGGTGTAAATAGATACAGTACTCGGTCCACAGTGAGCGGACGGCTCAGTTAAGGAAGTTACGGTAGGTGATAAGTCAGGGTAAACAGAAGTCTGCTTTGTACGATTTTTTATTTAAATTTTGCCTTAATATTAAGAACGTGAGTCTGTTTGATATACCATAGGCTGAGAAAATGTTTGCATCGTTACATAAATATTTTTATCATACAGTGAACGGTAGCATTTTGATAACTGATTTGTTAATTGCTTACAAGTGTTATGCATAGTGGCATTTTGGCGAGTTTTACTATATGTATTTGTATTAACAGATATGCAGCGGTCACACAGGAGGACGGATTACCCATTCTCTGATTATTCACCCACCACTCTTGTTGGTTTAGCATCTTGGTGAAAAATGATTAGGATTTCTTATATACTGTCCACCTGGTGTCAGTTGCCATGTTTGTATTACTAAGGAATGACTGTGAGGGTACCTGTGTCATCTGGCTCCATGACACCCCTCCTGTGGTGATCGCTGGATGTGGTATTTGTTGGATAAGAAGCGGAATTTTTTTTTAGAATAACTTGTAGTTTTATCTTCAATGTAAGAGGCAAATTATTTTTTATGCTGTGGCTTTTATATCTGTAGTGGTTATGTGTGTAAGGTACAGTAGTACAAACTATTGATTCATTGGGTCACCTGTAGATTAATCCACACCCTAATGCTAACCTCACCTCACCTAATCTCGTCTCACCTAACCTCACCTCGCCTAACCTCGTCTCACCTCACCTAACCCCTTGAGGTAGCATTAGAGTGTTTAATCATCTGGTAAATTATGCTGGGGGCTAAACTACAGGTGATCCAATTTATTTTTAAATTACCATGATACAAGCTGAAAGGTTCTCAGTACTTAAGTTGGTTACATGTCAAGTAGTTCCCAAACCTAACCTAACCCAACCTTTAGCATATGGGCCAATTAGAATTAAGGGATAAAGAACTCGCACCCATTAGTATTGGGCCTCACTCATTGGGTTGGGCTGGGACTCAGTAGCTTTAGCCCACTTGACTCGTTACCTGTTGAGATATCTTAGACTTAGAGATATTATTAAAGTGGATTTTCAGTCACTAGTTAAATTAATTATTCAAATTTGTTATCATCTTGGATCACCCGATGATTAAACACCTTAACACTACCTGGAGGGGTTAGCGTCAGGGGTCATTTGAACAGTGCGTGTCATAAACTAGGGTACATAATCATCAGGTGACCCAATATCTTATTCCTCTGGGTAAAAGTATTGTAAATCCTTCCTTAATTAAATCGCATGATAATCTAACTTTATTCTGGCATAGTAAATCAAGACCGGGATATACTGCACACAGAGGCTGACTCGCACATCCTCATGACAGTTCACTCTGGTTGGTAAGATAAATTACATGACCTATAGATTAGTGCCCCCAGATTATTTCACCACGATTAAACACCATAACACTACCTGGGGGGTTAGGTAGAGTGGTTAATCGTAAGGTGAAATAAACTGGAATGCTTAATCTTCAATGACTGATACATTATCAGTTCTTGTAGTGCACATTTTCTCAACGATTTTCTTAAAGGAAATTATTTTGCTCAATTAAATGTTAATACTGTATAAGGGTTAACATTAGACCCCCAGCTTATTTCACCTTTAGATTAACGACCCTGATGCTACCCTAAACTAACTCAATCACCAGGTAGCGAGCCAAATGCTGACCTAACCCCTCCTCAGGTAGCAATAGTGTGGTTATCATCAGTGGAAATAAGTTGTCCATATGCGAGTCATACAGGTGTTTAATAATAACATTCAACATTTATATCAACGCTTTAACATTGAGACAAAGATTTATGAAGGATAGAAATTAATTAATAGTGTGTAATGACTTAATTGGGTAATAGAGTATCGTCATTATGTTCTTTTGTTAATAATTCCAACACCTTGAAGTGGAATTATTGTAAACTATGATGTGAAATTATATTGACTTTGGAATTAGTTGTATCTCTTACCTAACTTAAACCCCCATTCATTGTGTGTCATTAGTGGTGTTGGTGGCACAGTGGTTGTGAATTAGCCTCTCACCACTGAGGCCGAGGGTTCATATCCCAGGGTTGGATGTGATAAGTTCCAGTGAAGGGAATGGATGTTTTGGAAGCAGCAGAGAACACGGCATCCGGTAATTTTAGGGAAAGGACGCAGTGTGGAGTTAGTCAAGTGGAGCATCAGATCAGATTACTGCACCAAACTACAGGTTGACCATCAAAAATCCGGCAACCGATAAACCGGAACCTTCAGTTTTCCGGCATGGATTTCCGAGCGCATTTTCAAATATTTCTTTGTTTATTTAAGGAAGATATATGTTTTAGCTCATAAAATTCATACAAATTACCCGGCCAGAATATAATTTACATTGCTGGAATTCTTACAATTTGATGATCATTTTGAATATAAACCAAAAGAAGGTCCATGCGACCAAAAGAATAGGTGACAGAACCGAGTAACAGTAAGAACTAAGATAAGAGAAGCAAGTAAGATGAGGGTGGTGTAGATGATGGAAAAACAAGCGCCCTCACACTGTGGGCTGCTTATCTTGTCACAACTCTCCTCACTGTGGGATGCAGCATCAGTTTGGACACTTGCATTGAAATACCAAGACATGTATAAAAATTCTTTAAAAAAGCAACACAAAATATATTAAGACAAACAAATCTAAAGAAAACTGTTAATTATCCTGGGAATAAAGTCACAAGTCATCATCAATAATACAGTTACTCCACAAATTAGTCACCCAGGAACCACTGTGTCATCATCATCAGAGTAAATTAAAGCCACAATCACAGCCCAAACTAACAGAGGCAAGGGGTTGATTTCAACACTAACTACAGTGTACAAGTAGAGTATTATGCACAGTACACTTGGAAATGAAGGAAACACAACTAAGAGATGGAGATTTATTCCTAAGTTTTGTTGTTCGACTTTTTCAAAGGAATGAGTATACAATATGGGTTACTGATATTTATACACAACCTGCAACATTCCACCTTCAAGACATCCATTGCAGCAGGAACCAAGATCGGAGACAGTAAAAAATAGCGGAGAGACCACACAAACACCAACAGCCTTTTGTACAGTATACCCTGCTGCCCCTGCAACAAGACATAATATGGAGAGACTTGTTGATGACTACAGTCGAGAACACCCAGTGTACGTCACACACCACAGGACAGCCAGCGCCAACGTCAATCCCATACATACTGCAGGACATCTGCCCAGAAGGGAAGGTGCCCATATCTTACACAAGGGCAAGAACATAAAGACCAGAGAAGCCCTGGAAGCAACTTATATCATGCTGCATTAAAATATCAACACCAAAGCAGGCTGGGTGACCTGGTCACACACTGCAGCCCAGTTGGCGGCACATGATTGGCGGAAAAAACAGACAACAGTGACACCAAATGACCAACGGGAACACGTGACCTAGCCCTGCCCACCACCATGGTACAAACTTCTGTACAGTATAACTGTCAGTAAACCATATCGTGTATTCATTCCTTTGAAAAAGTCTACCGAGGAAACGTCAGGAATAAAGCTCCATCTCTTAGTCGTGTTTCCTTCACTACCATCCGACCACTGTGAACAATGATCATACAGTACAGTACAGTATCAATAAATTTGCTCAATCCAGCTTATAATTTACTCCTACATACCATCACAGTTTACTCGCATCTCTCCCACAAGCCATTATCGAGGATTCCGTCACACCTTCAAACATCAACATCCTCCAGACCTGAGAACATAACCATTATAATTGAACAGACATTTTCTGTACATATAAAAAAATTACTGTTTTATTCAATAAAATTTCCCCATACAGTACATTTAAGCTTCAAGTGTAACAAAGTTCCTACATTGATTAACTTGTTACAACATTTCACTGCTATTGTTATACCCTTTGTAAAATGTTATCATTAACTTACCATGCTGGAAAAATAGGCCAGTCAAGGCACTGTACACTTCAGTAACACCACATCATCTATGGCAGGCCCACACCCGCTGCTCCTAGTGAGAAGCGCCATCTAACAGTGAGGTCATCGTCCACACCATCTCCAGTAAATATGTCTTCAAGTCCATGGCTATAATATTCTTCTTCCCTCTCTTACAAGTATTTTCTCAAGACTGGAACAATGGCAGGAATGCAGGTCAAGCATACACATTCTCTCTTCATAAACCAAATGAGCATCTTGGGGGCTTAGTAGTGGAAGACATCCTGGGATTATCACAAGAAGAAATCTGTGTGAGGAACAAGAGTGTGTTAATAACATCAGACTACACAATGTAATACTCAGACAACTGCAGCAAAACCCATCATAAACTCATGCTGATAATAACACTATGGTGTATATACTGTAGAGCAAACCCTCATGATCCTGGACTAACTAGGGAAGACAATCCAAAATGGGCCAACAATGACAAGGTGCCCCCTGAAAATATGTAACCAGCCAATGCTCAGTTCTCTACTATACCTAAACATAAATAAAAATTATACTAATAAAATAAATTCCCCTCTACGAGGGTTACTCATTATTTGTGAAGGACAAGTCACACAAATTTCCTAGATGGCAAAGGTTGGGATGAAAAGCTTGTCAATTCGCCAGTTGCCACCCACCTGGCTAGTGCGCCCTTTCCCCAAGTGACGTGACGTGATGGCACACGCATACCTGCACACACACCTTCACACCTTGCGGTCAGCTGGTTGACTGCCTGGCTGATGGCTGAACTGTGCCGCGTTACACAGAGGACGGTTTGAGTGGAGAAGGAGCTAACACAAGACAATGAAGATTATAACAAAGTAAAAAAATACATACCAACTGCCGAATGGCTAGCAAGCTGATAAATATAGGAAATTATATATAAAAAACTACAATACTGTAACATTAATAATACAGGTAATAATAAAAACAATACTACAATAATGCATAAATTTTAATAATGAAATGAAATATCTACATTTAAATAACAGAAAGGTATGACAGTTTAATTAACACCCACACTCCTAGCAGTAAGGAATGAAAAAAACAGTTGAGCATCTTCACAGCCCAAGTTATGCAACCTTGTCTTAGCAGCAGATTAAAACACAAATAAAAATTGTACGAAATTAAGTAAAGGAAACACAAGAGGCATTAATAAGGATGAGGAATAAGGAATCAGTGATTAATAAACATCATTAAAAAAGGATCAAATCATTTATAAAGAGAATGAAATTTTATCATCTTAGATCACATGAAGATTAGATAGCTTATTTCACCTGATGATTAACCACCCTAATGTCACCTTGAGGGTTAGGTTAGCATTAGGGTAGATGATCCTAAGGTGAAATAAGCTGTCAATAGTAATCTTCAGGTGATCCCAAAATTGGTATATGAACCCAAGACAATACTGCATCTCCACACCTGAAACCAAGTGGTGAGCCTCAACTACTGGTACAGTAATTGAGGGAAGGAAGAGAACTGACAACAGGGTGGAAATGGACCAATCAACACAAAATATACTGGAACAGGACCAACCAGGATACACCGTGGTAGAAATGGACCAATTAAAACAAATTATGCTGGAAGAAGACCAATCATTATACATCATTGGTGGAAATGGACCAATCAGCACACATCATGGTGGAAATGGACCAATCATCACACGCCTGGGTGGAAGATGACCAATCAACATGCAATATGTTGGAAGAAGACCAATCAGGACACAGCATAACCTGCCTAACAAATGTCTGAACTGATATGTACTGTACATGAACCTCATTAACAGAACTCTATTGATCCTGCATCGGAAAATTACCAAATACTCTCATGTTTTTCCATTCAGATCATGTGTAGGTCCCCCCCAGCTTATCTCCCTGAAGATTAAACACCCTAATGCGACCTGAGGTAGGGTGGGTGGGGTGGTTAAGTCAGGTTAGCATTAGGGTGTTACAGCAATGTCCATTCTTTTAAGAGACTCGGACAACTACAGTACATGCACAGTTCTTTAAAATCAAACAGTAACATATGAACACAGATCAAAATTCTGTATACAATAATACAGTGAATGTATTTCTCCTCCCCACTTAAATAAAAATACAGAAGATATACACACAGTATATAATTAACCAGTGTATGGGAGTATAATTATAACTGAACTTAAAGCAAACACAAGGTAAGGTTTCTAAACACTGGTAATGTTACTCGCCTGTGTATGGCAAGAGGCAATCACTGTCATATATCAACTCACACTTAAGAAACACATATGGTACCTCCTCATGAGGATCAGATACAGCACACCAGAAAAAAATATATAGTATATATATTCATCGAGAACCTGTAATGACTTACAAATGTATACAAATAAACCAAATATCGTACTACTGTTGATGAACGATGATTCAAGACACATTAATACCGAGTCAAGGATCATCTCAAGCGATAAAGTCATGTTAGAGCCTGTTTACACGACCAGACGGCACTGCATTGAGTCATATATAGACGAACATGATATTTTTTTGGTTCTCGGGTGTAGGAAGAGTTAGGGATAAACAAAATGGAAATCACGGGGACTTATGGACGGGAACATCATAGTAGAATGTACCGGTATTTGATAAAGACAGATAGAGAGAATGAATGGCAGTCAGTGAAGAGAGAGAGTGTGTTGTTTTATATTCTGGCTACTGTGAGCTGCAGGAGGAGAGCTTGTAATATCAGAGCGTAAACAGACAAAAAAACAAGACAAGGGCAAGAAATTCCTTAAACTTTAACTGCATTTCCTGGCATAATTTTTTTTTTACATTTGTTGCATGTGACACCTACCTGTATATGGCATAAGGGTGAAAACTACAGTAAAACAAGTTGGAAAATACCTAAGATATTCTGGTTACAAAACTCCATATCACATTTTAGTTTGATCCACAACGTCTTTCTCCAGTTACTGTAATAACACTGTGCCAACACTCTCTATGGTGGGGACATTAAACACAGACTAGGATCCTCTCAGACAAAGAGTTAATAAACTTGGGATTTTACCATGACAGTTATAAGCTCAACCAGCACTGTGATAATCTAGAACCTGTGACAAAGATGCACATGGTGGTGGTGGTGGGAGCCTAGAGGGCGTCTCTCCACAGCAAGTTGTCTACTTCAAGTTTGTTGATCTTTTATTAGAGATGGCGAGACAAATGCAATAACAAAGTTACTTTTATCAACAATTTTCATTTACATGCATTGAAACTTTATGAGCAAATACAGTACACCTTTTCACATATCCATTGAGACATTGTTGCATAACTATTTGACAAATTTCGTAACCGAATGACAGAACACATATCGAATGACAATCTAAAATAACTGTTGGTGGTATGTCATTCTCCAATTGTTACATTCTCAAACTATATGTAGACTGTCGGTTTATTGTTCACGTCTGTCAACTTCATAACTTATGTCAATCACTTCCGTTAGCATGAATGAACAGTTATTTTAGATTGTCATTCGATATGTGTTCTGTCATTCGGTTATGAAATTTGTCAAATAGTTATGTAACAATGTCTCAACGGATATGTGAAAAGGTGAAATAATACAACATAATTTATTTTAAAAAGCAAACATGGACAATGTTTTCCACAAGCAAAATTAACAGACTACTTTTATCCTTAAGTTTCATTTCCATGTAAAGGAAAGTTGATGAACAACATATACAACCTAAACAATAATGAGATACAGTCATTTAGTACATAAAGCAATATCATAAACCTGTGAGTGACAGAACACACTCCTGTCTAATACAGAGAAGTTCTCACAGCAATATCCTTGTTGTTAGAATTCACAAAGCAATATTTTGTATTCCTTATTCTACCGTATATTTAGCATTGCTTAATTGCTCAAATGCCCATTTTCTTATTATAAAATAACATATATAAAAATACAGAGGAGAATAATCTAAAGATAATATATACAGCATATATGTAGGGCATCCTAAACATGAATCACATGAAGATTAGACACCCAAGATTAATTTACCCAGGACGGTTAACCTTAGGGTGAAATAATCCGGGGTGCCCAATCCTCGTGAGAACCCAAAACATTTTAACGTCATTGGTACAGTACTTGTTATCGTGATGCACTACTCAGGGAATGGCTGTGGGTCTCACTTTGCCAAAACACAAGTTAAGTAGGATGAAATTAATATTAATGGGTTGATCTTAAAAGCTCTTTATATGCCTAATAGATTCTGAATGAGAGACTCTGGTAATCAATGCACAATATAAGAAAATATACATTCTACTTAGATTCATATTCACATGTCAACTATCTATTCATATATTAAAAAAAAAAGCAAGATATACACAAGTTAGCGACGGATTTCTTACTTCGTCTTCTCAACTACCGGGCAAGTATACAAGTATTCAGTAAACATAGTACTTGATCAGGAAGGTAATACAGTATAGTAATGCCTTAATAATACACAGTGTTAGCGATCAATACACCAAGCACATCCAATCATCCATCATTCTCAAAACTTTCAATCCCAGTTACAACACTAAACCATTCTGTGTTACATCAACCTTACTTCACACACAATCTGTACGTCACACACCAGCCACACCTCACTAAGTTTCCTTCAGTTGAACTTCACCGTTATTCACCTTTATTCCTTAACCTTACCGTCAAAAGAATTCCCTTCACTCCCAGGTCATTCCACATCCATAAAATAACAGATCTTTATATGTAAGCCAATCATCCGCCTCTGAACAGACTTTGGATCACCGGAAGAATTCTCCCTAGCTTATTTCACCTTAATCACCCTAACACTATTTGGGGGAATGAAGTGAAGTTAGATCAGGTTAGGATAAGTGACGTTAGGTTTTGTTTGGTTAGTATTAGAGAAAAAACAAAAGCTGGGTGGAGAATTTTTTTGGTGATCCCATAATTCTTGTCCAGGGTATATTTGGTGACCTTAGCTTAAATACAAGTCATTCTAGTGATTTTTCTCTCCTTCTATAGACAAACAAGTTTACCTCCCTATGTCCACCACACAATCACATTTAAGAATAAGTTTTCTTGTTCACTAAATGGTACATAAAAGTAGTGTCTACATAATACAGTATATTAGTGAATGATATGCACAGTCTTGTATAATGAAAAATCCCCTTCAAGTGTTATACAAAATCCTTAATACCCAAAACACAGAATCTTTTTGGAATGTTATGATAAGTTTTCCTCCCAGGTAATATGACCACAATCTTATCACTGCTTGCTTTAGCTTCAACACTTGTTTTTATACAAACTAATATCAGATGCAAGATTATATTGAGCAATAAAAACTACCACTACCTGTAGCTGAGTCACTTACCTGGCTAACAAACCGACTTTATTATCCTACTAATTTACTTTAAATAACTTCACACCTAGTATGCTTGTTACTAAAGGCAGCCATGTTTCCAGTAGCAGGAATGTCCAAGAGCCCAGAACTCTGGATAATAAAAACAGAAATGACCGACAGTTTAACACTTTGAAGTTCACACAGAGATGGAAACTTGTCATCCCTACAGTATGTCCCTCTCTATCATAGCAGCAATAATTAGCAAAACTTAAATGGTTCCAAGTTGACAATAACTCAATCCATGGCCTGGAATCCTCCCAATTATTGTCAATACTGAAAATTCCTAACTTCATACAGGCTGTTTACTTCAGCTACAATCTACAACATGCCTTGGCTGCACAGATTACGCTACATCTGACTAACTAACCAACTTTGTGTAAAGCCATTCGACGGAGAAAGGCAAGACAATTCTTCTATTACAGAAAACACATTTTCACGGGTATGGCAAGTTTATCATTCACACACCGAGTGCCTCATAGTATCTCGCCTCCAACAACATGAGTCCCAAACAAGACACAAGGTACAAACATCTTCACGAGGCCACGAGTAAAAATCACAATCAGGTGGTAAAATTTCCCATAAAATTTCACCATTCTGAAAAAGTTGCAAGTAGAGGTAATAAACAAATAAGAGATGAAACTGTCTGTAAGATCTTACCGGTGACAAATAACAAGTGAGGTAAAAAGACCTTAACAATTAATTATACCTGAAGAAATTATCCCTCATCTCAACAATAATTATACCAATTATCAACTATCATCCTCTTCCTATTATAATTACCTATCATCCGTTCTGTGTTAATGAAAAGGAGCCGTCTCTACCTGTCTATAACGCGGTGACACCAGGTTTACAAGGCTGATGCCGTGGGTCGACTCAGAGACAGATACAGTCGGGTGGTACTGTACTGTATATCATAATAATGGGCCATCCCCTCCTAGTCAGTCCTTCATTAAAAATAATAGCTTAGAAGTTCAAGTCATCCCAGATGCTAATGACTGTGTCCTAATTCTTTCCTATTACATTTTACGATCATATTAGTGATGAATATTTGTGCAGTAGAACGACCAAGTAAAACCAATGGTCATGTGAAGTTACCTCTTTACATCAGGCAAATGCTACACAAGAAATACAGCACTACAGAGTTAAGAGGAGAGACTACAGTGTTATAAAAGGGTTTGTTAAGCTTAAGAAGTATGTCTTACACTATGTTAAAAAACAAATAACAGTATGTCTTTTGGCTTACAGCTCTATCTTCACCTTCATAACCTCAAAGGACCTCAGATATAACCCCAACAGCAGCCTGCCAGAGTGAAGACCAACAAAGACCAAATATAACTGTGGCAATACTACAAATATTATCACCAACTCATCATTGTTCCTGGTTGGTTATCAGATGTGTTGAATTTGTGGATGTCTGTCTTTTCTGGTGGGACTGAGAACTTCGATACTATACAAAATCTTCCTTCAGGACCATTAAGGAACACAAATTTCCCTCTTCTTCATCAACCAGTAAGACTCCCTTCAAGATGTGTTCCTCTGTCTCTCTCTTCAAATAACTATCAACTTGACTCACCTCCCAGCTCAATTAATGCAAAAAACAATAAATAAAATAAATAAATTACAAAAAAATAAAGAGAACGACCTCAATATTGTATACCGTAAAACACAGTAAACACTCCTACCGTAAAATACAGTACAGTAAACACTCCTACCGTAAAATACAGTACAGTAAACACTCCTTCCGTAAAATACAGTACAGTAAACACTCCTTCCATAAAATACAGTACAGTAATCACTCCTACGTAATACAGTACAGTAAACACTCCCGTAAAATACAGTACAGTAAACACTCCTTCCTAAAATACAGTACAGTAATCACTCCTTCCGTAAAATACAGTACAGTAAACACTCCTTCCGTAAAATACAGTACAGTAAACACTCTACCGTGAAAATACAGTACAGTAAACACTCCTTCCAGAAAATACAGTACAGTAATCACTCCTACCGTAAAATACAGTACAGTAAACACTCCTTCCGTAAAATACAGTACAGTAAACACTCCTATCGTAAAAATACAGTACAGTAAACACTCCTACCGTAAAATACAGTACAGTAAACACTCCTACCGTAAAATACAGTACAGTAAACACTCCTTCCGTAAAATACAGTACAGTAAACACTCCTTCCATAAAATACAGTACAGTAATCACTCCTTCCGTAAAATACAGTACAGTAAACACTCCTACCGTAAAATACAGTACAGTAAACCTCCTTCCATCAAATACAGTACAGTAATCACTCCTTCCGTAAAATACAGTACGGTAAACACTCCTAAGTAAAACTGGCTGATAAACCTCCTTTAATAAAATACAATACAGTAAACACTCCTACCGTAAAATACAGTACAGTAAACACTCCTACCGTAAAATACAGTACAGTAAACACTCCTTCCGTAAAATACAGTACAGTAAACACTCCTTCCATAAAATACAGTACAGTAATCACTCCTTCCGTAAAATACAGTACAGTAAACACTCCTACCGTAAAATACAGTACAGTAAACACTCATTAAAAGGAACTACATCCACAGCTCCTATTTGTAGTGCTGCAGTTCCTATCACAGTACTTAACTCAGTCACCTCGTCGCCCATACCAACAGCCAGGGAGCGAGTAACATCTTTGTGACCATCTTCCTTCATGGTCTCGACTCTCACTGTCAGATGTACCTCACTTATGTCAAGTATACATCATTTAACTTTATATTAATCCTAACTAATTCCAGTGATTATTATCTTTATTCTGATTTACCGGGTAAGCGAACCTTAACTTGACTAATTCCAGTGATTATTATTCCTGATTCTGATTTAAGCGCATGTTAAATAATTGTTACCAATACATTTTTCTATACCTCTTTTATTCTTTCTATGTACAGTCGCAAACAAAGGTCCTGTCCCCAATCCAAATGCTCCATTAAGCCAGAGATTCAGACTCGTGAATCCGAAGCAGTAAACATTGATACATTATTCTGTCCATAAATGCTTCAGATTCATGAGTCTGAATCTCTGGCTTCATGGAGCAGCAAAAGAGGCGACCGGACTCTAGTTTGTGACTGTGCCAACGTCATCATCACTTGCATGGATAGTCCCAGCATCAGAGCGAGCCGTCACACGGAGAACCTCCCATCGACTAAAACCCTAAATAAATGCACATCTAAACCTAACGTATAAAACAATAATATCAATTTATGACAAGAAATAACCTGAATAAGCTGAAACTGAGATGCTACTCATATCACACAAAGAACTAGGAGACTTAGAGAAGTACTTTATATATCACACATTCTGTACTTCTCCAGGGTCCAGATGGAGGAGGTCTGGAAGATGTTTATTCCTTGACAATGAAGATTTTAGGATGTATCTAACTGGCTGACTAAAGCTTAAGTACAAATATGACATCAAAAATTATACTGAGATTCTACCTCAAGCTGATGCTGTACATTCAATTAACACCAGTTAGGAGACAAAATTACACTGAGAATCTACCTTAATCTGATACTATTAATTAGAACAAATTAAGATTGGGTGAACGTAGCTAATAAAGGTAAAGTCTCAGTACTGTATAATTATTCATGGTTTTTACTTATGGTAATTTCTGTACCCGAAGCTCACGCCAACCAGTTATGGTAGGTACATTCCCACATCTTCAGGCACGAGGAACTGGCCAAAACAATCCTCTGTGAATCAAGACTCCAAGCAGGCACTAGCATGGCTTCCCTATGAACACTAATCTTCTAGGATCGTGTAAGGAAGTTGGCAAAATAAAACGACACTATTTACCATAATTACAAGAGTACAGTAACTGGTTATGTGGGCCCCAGTCTTAATAGGCCCCAAATCTAACTATTAAAATTGGGGCCCCAAGACCTAAAGAACCCCAATACTAATGGGTTCTAGTCTTAATGGGTCCCAATCCTCATAGACCATAAATTCAATGGGTCTAAAACCTATGAAATTGGTTAAGTTGGGCTGGGTGAGGTTAGGTTAAGTTAGGCCGGAGCACAACAAGACGACGGACCATTTGAACTGCAGCCACTACAAGATGTACGGCAGGTTAAGTCAAGATAGACGTATCACCGAAACATTTACACATTATGTTTAATTGTTTTTCTCCTCGTAAGTCTCTCATCTCTGGTACCTAGTTAATATTTCTGACACTAAACTGAATATATTAAAAATCATGTGAAGAACCAGACCTCCCTAGCTTATTTCACAAAATGATGAACGCCTTCCTTACAGGACGCCATTTTTAATAGTATTTTTATTTGACTAACGGCGGACGATTTTATTCAGCTCAGAGGCGACGCTGTACACAAGAGGTTAAACACCCTAATGCTACCTGGGGAGAGTCAGGTTTGGTTAGGTTATGTTAGGATGGTTACTTTTACGGTAAAATAAGCTGGGTGCTTAATTTTCACGTTATCTAAATATTACTGATAAAAATAGAACAGATTTACATAACTGAACACACTTTACAATCATTTACGTAACACTGAACACACAAATTAATCCCAGAGAGACGGTCGATTGGGAAAGCTTTTGGCTCGGCAACTCTCTGAAGCTTAACCACTGACGTAAAGAACAGCTTATATTGTACGGTACCTCTATGGAAAAAATTATCAGATATTCTGTAAAAAAAAAAAATAAATCTGAGTAAATGAGATTGTAATCCTTAACAGTTATTTGGATGATGTAAAATATAATTGTTTAACATTAACCAGTGCAGTAGGAATGTTAGATAGGTTTGTTCACAATTATTTATGTATATCTCTGCTGGTTGGTTAAAAATACATAAATCAAAAGCAAAAATATATCTATAATTTGCTCCACCACAATATAGAAATTTTTATATAAAATTTATATACATTAAATTTATATATACCTGTACAGTACAGCATATCAAATTTATATATAAAATTAATATATACCTGTACCCTGTACACCCACCAAATTTATATACACACACACATGTATATAACAAATATATACCAAACTGAGACATTTACTCTCCAATAAGGAACTGACTAACAAAATTAACAATACCCAATAGAATGATGCCAAAATGTATGACAAATTGATACCAGTGGAGTTGGTCTTGTGAGTAGAGAGCCACCAGGTACGTGACACAAGGGAGCATGAAGATGTACGCCAGGCCTGAGATGGCACCAATCCACCTGTTGATATAAAACGGCCATGAAAGTGAGGAAGTATTAATGAACCCAACTCACGGACCACAACACCCACGTAATTCGTCCGAGAGAAAAAATAAAAAAGTCACTTGAAAATTAGACACCCAAGCTTATTTCACGTGATGATTAAAACACCTTAATGCCAGCCTAACCTAACCTGACCTATCCTAAATTAATCTAACCTGACCTAATCAAACCTATCCTAACTTACCCTAACATGACTTAACTTCACCCCACCAGGTTATTAATAAAATTTCTCTTTCATCAGGTGAAATAAGCTGAGCCAAGATGTCAATTTATTGGTGATATAAAGGACTTTCACCTGTATACAGTTCGTAGATGGAGGTTTCAAATCTAACGAACCTTTGATATAATAGACATTCTTCTTCATATAGTCCATTAAATAGAGGTCTCACTGTACTGTACTCGTATAAAACACCTCATTCCTCTACATAACAAAACCATAAGACAAACAAACCTTCACCGGCCAATAATAAACGTACGTACCGGATGATAAATCCAATGTTAGGGTAGAGTATAGCCACTAAGACAGACAGAGTTATGAGACACACGTTGAGGATGCTGACGCGCCACAGCTTAAACTCATAGCTGGGGCCCATGAAGTACGTGAACAGCTGGTTGCGGATGAAGAAGCCAAGGAGCGGATACACGGTGAGGATCTGGAAGAAGAGGAATCCACGCACGACCGCCAGCACCACATCATGTGGGGGAAAGTTGTCCAGGAAATTCTGAAATGAGGTGGACGGTTTATTTATCTATTAACGGGTTGTATTATGTATATTACTGTGTTGTATTTCATGTATATTACTGTATGTATCAGGTTGTATTTTATGTATACTGTATTACCAGGTTGTATTTCATGTATAAATTTGGCAACACTTTTCATCATTATTATTTACCCACCTTAAAAGCTAATCCCTATTATGTACACAATGGCTGTTACCAAGAACTATTCAGATTCTCCTTAACAATAACACTTGTATGTTTCAGAATGTTTATACCAAACAGGTTTTCATTCAACGTAATTTAGCTTATAAATGTTACAAACCAAATATGAATAAACGTTATGTAATTCTTTTAGTAGTTCACCCAAGTCTGGATCAACAAAGTCACCACCAAGCATTGTAATAATGTCACTTGTCTTTTTCAACCTCAGACCTTTATCAATGACCATAGTTTCTGACACAAATATGGTCTGTTCTCTCTCTCTCTCTCTCTCTCTCTCTGATAATTTTAAGCATTGAAGTACGAGTCTAACTATTGTACCAGCTTTGTTACGCTCTTGACCACTTGTGTACGGGGTTCCCTCTCCGCTGAATAAAATCATCTGGTGTTGGCCAAATAAAATATTAAAATTGGTGTCCCTATATTGAGGGGTTCAAGACCTTAGTTGATGGAGTTCAATAACAAAGACTTCAATTTGATGTTTTTCACCTTATGTTATGATAATGAACTGTCCTGTACGTCTGAGTAGAGTTTTATCTTAATAATCGAACTTAATAAAATATGAAATACTTTAATAAAATATGAAATACTTATGATTACCCGGTCAAACAATAAAACCAAATGATAAAGTTAGTTAAAAAAGATAGGAAAAAATAACATCAATTAACAATGCAGATATGTCTTCCAATTAAAAGATTATAATTACTGAACGTTGGGGTGAAGTTAAAGAGGAACATATCAATAAATACATCTATGAGAATGGTTAAAGATGACTGACAGTGAACGACGGGAGAGTCGACGTTGGTATAAAAATTTCAGCCGCCTGGAAAAAAAATTTACGGATGCAAAAAAAAAATGTAATTAATAAAAGGACAAAAGCCAAACACAACTTACATCAACAACACAATACTTCGGTAGAGGAAATGTGACGTAGAAGAGTACACCAATGGGTATGTACGTCGCTGCAACCAAGACGTAGGAGATAGTAAGGTCTCGTACCTGAGAAATACACCAATAATCAGTGGTGGGCACGGCTCCGCTAACCGCCAATTAGCGAAGATAACTTTCTCGTTAGCTGATTAGCGTTTTCGCTAACTTTGGAAACCATTTTGGGTCTGCTAAATTTAGTTCCACTAACTTTAAGTCCACTAACAAAATTTATACATGTTTGTTTCTGTCTGTTGTAAGTGTGTGACGCCGCGACGCGTGTCTCCAACAGCCAGTCAGGCACGCTTGGCTGACTGCGTGTTAGTACGTGCAAAGATATCTTGAGGGCCAAGAGAGCCACCCTGTCAGATGGCAACTTTGAGAGACTGATGTTTATGAAGGGCAACCAGCATCACGTCGATGCGATGGAGAAGGCCCAGCCACTGCAGCCGGAATGAATGGAATTTTTCGATTATTAAAGTTTAATACTTTTTTTTACAGTAAATAAAGACTGTCAGTATATGTTGAAAGAATCATAGAATGTAATTGTAAACTAAAGTATAATTTCATTTCTCATTTATTTGTTAACTTATTAAGGATTTTTTTGTGTCAATATATTTGGTTATGCTAAGTACTGCATAAGTTCATAACCAGGATGTCATCCAAGGTGTGCGCCAAACAAAATTTTCTAAAAACTTTCTTTTCATTAAAGTTTAGAGTTTTCTGTTTATTTACATGACTAAGACCAACAATAAGTTATATAAAAATGCACTGGTATAATGTGTGTGTGTTTGGTATTGCATATTTACATGAATAATGAATAAGGCCGATAGGTTGTATGAGAATGCAAATTAATTATTTGTGAAATTGTGTACAGTGTACACCTTGATAAGTTGATCATCATCTGATCTTGGCATGGTGCTCTTTGCTACCTATGCTATACAGTACTATAGTTTTTGGATTCGTTTAATACTTTCTGTCTTTTCGTACAGTAAATAAAGATTATAAAGTGTATGTTGAAACTTGAATGTAAACTAATGTTTAATTTCATTTGTTCATTTAATTATGTGTGTACACCTTGATCATCATCTGGTCTTGGCATGCTGTACCTTCTTGGAAAGCTCTATGACTAAGCTACAAGACAACATATGAAAATTTCAGCTCTAGGACTGTTTTAGAGCCCCCCCCCCCACCCCCCATAAACGAAGAAGCCAAATTCATATAATAAAAGTTAGCGGTTAGCTTCCACTAATTTTTTTAGCTGTTTAGCGTAAGCGAAGTTAACTTTTTAGTTCGCGGATTAGCGGTTAGCGAAGCTAACTTTTCGTTTAGCTGTGCCCACCACTGCCAACAATATGAAACTTAAATTAATTACAATAATATAGCTTATAAGACATGAATGTAAAGAAGATATAGGAAATAGTTCTGATTTATGTCTAAGTCGTGAAATATGTTAAAGAAAACTTAGTTACTTTACTAGTTATTACAATGTTACACTTGCTAGGAAACATACATGGATGTGCACTGCATACAGACACACACAGAAATACAACTCACATATGCACACCCACACAACAAACACACTGTACATGCACACCAACCAACACACACACATTCTTACATTGTTCTCCTGGTGTCTGTTGCCCTGCATTATGGTGACGACACAGTTGTGGATGAAGTAAGCCAGAGACAAGGTCCCAGTAAGGCACATGAAGGTACCCTGCAATGGAACAACAATGACTATGTACTTTATCCCAGGTGTGCTTTATTCCAGGTGTACTGTATCCCAGGTATAAGTTACATCTAAAGCACTGACATGAATGAGCTTCTGACCTTAAACAGAGGAACATAGAAGTCATCCCTTGGGTCCGTGAAGTTAATGTTGATCCCCCAGACGGCCGCCTTGGACACAACAAACAGGTACATCACAATCACAGAGATCGCACCTGTAAACATGAAAATATTCTTGTTTATCAGTGGGAAATATTGTCAAAAGTATGAGATACAAGTCGCACGGATGGGCAATGATGAATCAACGAGCCACCTGATTGGTAGTTAATATAATCACTCTTGCATGGGCGGCCTGAATCAAGAACAACACAGCCAATCACTTTGTTCTCTCCACTTGCTATACAAGGTGTGGTGGTGAGATAAATACCATACAGCAACAGTCTCCTGCCCCAAGAACATCACCCAGTCCACCCAGCTGTGAATTGGGAAGTGAATACAGTCACATGCATTACTGGCCACACTGCCTTACTGTGTACTGAAAAGAGGACAACAGTACCTCAAGTTATAAGAGATGTGTTCTGTTGTGGCTTAGTACCATGAGCAAGTATCATTAATCCCTCCCTAACAGTGTTTAGTGAATCTTTGTAACTAAATAATTTACACCATCAGGGAAGTTGTTGTTTATCTTCACCAAAATGTCTAAGTTATACCTGAGTAAAAAAGACATAAATGCTAAAACCAAACTCCATTTTGATATGGAGGACATTTCTCAAGTTCCTGAAAGACATGACATTTTATACAGATATACTGTAATACCATATGTCTCACTATATTCCTTGTTAGGGACGTTGAATAAGTATTAAGTATTGGGAAATAAAAAGTATATTAAAAGTTGATGGCTGGAGTCACCATAATGTATGAGATGACAACCAAACATTGTGTCAGCCATTGTGGATCTTCTCATTTATTAAAAGTCATACATTTAATAATCTATAAATCTTAATTCCTACAAAAACATACCGAGAGAATTGAAGTAGGTGAATATCTTGGCATCGCGGAGATTGAGAATGAATAGAAACGGCAGAATAAGGTACAAGGGAACAGTCAGATCTTGTTTCCACCAACGATGAAATTCACTCGGGTCTCCTGTAGTGAGATCCTCAAGGGTTATGTTTGGAGGACACAGCAATGTATTGGAGTCATTGTGTATTTCACCATTGATGCTATCTGAAATATAATACAGGAATTAATATTATGAACCTCAACCTGCTCTCAGGAAGATCACATTGATTCAGTCTTACCTTCAGCTATGAACTTGACCTCACATGAAGTCTGTGTCTGGCATTGCAAGGATGGATCAAGGTATTTCAGTAACAGGATTCAAGAGTTGCCAACATCTGCTCTAGATCCACTCTTGCAATGTACTGACGAAACAACTTCGGTGGAGCATCAACGTCCGGCACTGCCAGTAACATGCAATAAAACTAACTTAAAATTTCTAGGAACAAAAACCAGATCACATGATGGTTTGGCACCCTACTCTATTTCACCTGATGATTATACATACTAACACTATCTGGGAGGGTTAGGTTAAGTCATCTCAGTTTAGGTTGGGTCATGTTAGGTTGGGTCATGTTAGGTTGGGTCATTTAGACCCTAAAGACTTACCATATATTATCTCTCCAGTGTTGAAGAGGAAGTTGGACATAAGGACCCAGTAGACAACCTGCGCCCCGACCAGAGTGAGCACTGAAAAACTCACTGTTAGGCCTTCTGTCAGTTTACCCAGGGTTCCCCCCAGCAGCTGCAAACATACGCGACTCAACTCCTGGGACGGACCTTCCAAACCTGCATGAAAACAGTCATATACTAAAAATTCTATAAGAATGAAATTAAAATATAAACTCCTCCAAAATTCTATTAAACTGGAGAATCTACAACTAATAAGTAAATACTCTACCTTATCCCCTTCACTATGGAGATGCAACTTTTAATATTTTCTTTGGTTAATGCCAGATGATTTTATTCAGCTCAGAGGCATCCCTAGACACAAGGGGTCATATATCATTAACCCTTTGCTGGCATGTGCCATGACTGGTGTGGTACGGAGGACTGCAGTACACTAGACATATCCTGCTACTGTTGCATTATATTGTTTGTGGACCCAATTTTATCTTCCCATACTGTACTTGGTCTTTGCTGAGCATCTTTGTGGAGCCTATTGTTAACTGCCCCAGGGAGGTGTAGGCCATTCGTCCATTAGTATTAGCTGGACTATGGTTGAGACAAGATGTACCACTAACACCAGCCTGCAGCACCTCAAGCAGGAGGAACTTGACGCCATCATCTATGGTTCAGGAGACAAGGTTGACCCCCTCATAGATAATGACAAGTGATCTATGTGAATACTGTACAGTGACCTCAAGATCTGACCAGTGATTTTAGTGAATCTTTGGACAGTTAAGTGTTTTATTTTTTACTGCCATGACCTTTACAGTATTGTTAAATGTACATTACTTACTACTATAGTAAAATTAAAAATTTCCTATTTCAAAATGGCATAAATCGATAGTTGTACTTAATTATCAAACACACCACTAATCAGCACCTTAGCTAATGAGGCAGTTGGTCTGCTTTTTGTTATAACCTTCATCGTCCAGTGTCAATACAGGAAGAAACAGTAGTACCCGGAGAAAACCTGTGATGACTGGCAGGATCACACTGGATAACACCCTCCCAACCCAGGCTGGGGATCGGACACTACCACTGAACCACCAACACAACACAAATTTTATAAACTGAAATTCAAGTAAAAGGAATAAAACAGAAGACGACTCACCCATGGTCTTCTGCAGCGTGAGGAGCCGTATAGCAGTGTACAAGGACAGGCCTGCCATACCCAGCATAATGATGAGCCCGCCAGCAAAACCAGCCTGACCAAACGCCCACGGCATCGTCATGAGAGACGTACCCATCATTGTGTTCCAAATGGCAATACTGTAAAATTACATGAACCGAACATCAACGATAATAACATAACAACTCCACCTAACATCAACACTGTAGTCCTGAAGCTACACAACCTATTACTGTACTGTCAAGACTGATTATGTAATGAGGAACTTACTACAAATAACATTAACAAAACTAAGTGAAAAGAACTTATTTAACACATTGATGGTCAGAAATAGATCAACTGTAGAAACAAAAGGACACTACAGGTACTAGAAATAAGCTTCTGGTGGCTTTGTTACCTTAATGTTTACCATTGTTTGTATACCTGCCTTGTCTACATATGCTGAACTGTATACTGTACCTACATTGTCTATATACAGGCAGTCCCTGAGTTACGACAGGGATACGTTCCTGGACCCTGATCATAAGTCGATTTGTTCATAAGTCAAGACAGTGTTAATTCCATAGTTTGGGTTAAAGCACAACCATGCCCATACAAAACAACAATCATATCCCATACATAACAAATAATGTAAACACTGTAAATAAAGTAATGTTAAACAATATAGAATAATGAAAATAATGTAAAAAAACTGGGATTTTAATGACAAATTTCTGCAATGACTGTATTGGGATCCCAGTCATTAGTGCGGGTGACTGTAAGTAGGACGGCTGTAACTCGGAGACTGCCTGTATATTCTGTATGTTGAACTGCATACCTACACTGTCTATATACATCCTGAACCGACTGTAAAACTGTACGAAGAGTTAACTAAACATCCATCTATCAACTCACATGGTGATATGAGAAGCCTGTTTGCCGTCAGCATCTGGTATGTGGCCGGGTATGTACGGCAGGAACAACTGTGATGGAACAACGTGGTCTGGTATCACCTGCAAGAGTCACACTTCGTTAAGGACACAGGTAAGTAACGGGACGGCGAGAGGTCGTAGAGAATGACCTCATAAATAAGAACCTGATGATGTTACTGATGATGATGATGATGATGATGATGATGATGATGATAATAATGATGATGATGATGACAATAATGATGATAATGATGATGGACAATGTCTATTATAATGACTTTGGAATCATTTAAAGTCTGCAAATACCCCTCCTAATGCAACCTGTGGGTTAGGTTAGATCAAGTTTAGATTAGGTTAGATTACATTAAGGCAGTTTAGATTTAGTAAAGGTGAAAAAATAAGCTGGAGTGTCTAATCTTCAGGTGATCCGATAAACTACCCATGACACAGCCCCCCCCCCCCACCACAGTAACTACAGCACCACCATACCAGCGCCCGTTCACTTGGATGGACGTCCGCTCGTAGCCTTGAGTAATATCTGTAGCGGGTGTAGAGGTGAGCGTCGTCACTGGTGCTGTCGATGGTCCGTGCACCGCTGGCTGAACTACTGCTACCGACAGCATGATGGAACGGTCTCCTGAAACAGCAATAGATGTGATTACAATACAACATTTACAGTACTCGTGTATTGTAGAAGATGATAACAAATTTCATCTACCAACTCAATGACTCGTGGAAACCGTCAAGCCTGATGTCACACACGTTTTAACCCCTTCACTACGGGGACGTCATTACATCATGATTTTATTCACCAGCGAGGAGACGCCATACACCGGTGGTTAATAATATCCTCCCAGCTGTTCTGTTTGTCCCTCCAGCAAGTATAAAAGATCCACAACTCACCTTTTTGGTCTATTATCTGACGTGTAAGGTGAAGGTCCAACCGTGGTCGACCAAGAACTTGAATAGAGGCTGGAAAGTACAATGTCACAATAAAATATTACATTAAACATAATATTTCTCTATGATCTTCCCTTTTTTAATACGAAATATATCAAAAGAAACAGAAACCTAAGGAGGAAATGGTCAGACAATAATGAAAGACTACAAATACTTCCTAACACAGTGGATCTTTTATTACCCTCATCTCCAGTCACCGCCAATTGTTGAGTTGGTTGTAAGGCAAACCAGATAAAACCTCAAAACAAAAGACTAACGTATTTTAAAGTAAAGACGCACACAAAAAATTAAAAGTGTTATATTGGATTATTTAAACACATATTTAGTGACGTCTACCTACAGTAAGGGCACCCCAGCTTATTTCCCCTTTAACTAATCTACCCTAACCTAATCTACCCAACCCTTACCTGACCTAACTTAATCTACTATTAGCCCCCAGTTTATTCCACCTGATGATTAAAAACCCTAAACCTAACCTAACCAAACACCCTGGCATTAAGGTGATATAAGATGGAGTGCTGATCTTCATGTGAAATAAACTGGTGGTGCTAATCTCCGTGTGGTGATAATCGTCTAATCAACGGCATCCTCGACTAACCCTGAATAGGAGGATGACGGCCTCAGCAGCGGTGAACGTTCATCAGCCAGTCGGGGGAAGGAAGCCGAGGGGACGGGATGGTTGTGGTCATTGTACGGCAGGTTCAAGACGGGCTTACTAGTGGGTATTCTGAAACCCTCCCGGTCTCTGTATTGATTCGGGTCTCCGTCGCCGTCCTCCGTCTCTTTGTTCTCCGCATCCCTCGAGAAGTCTATGGTCGGGGCCTCCTCGATGTCTCCTCCATTGAGTAGAATTTCATTATCTCCTTCCAGTGACATTTCTCCTTCATATTTGTCCATCACACCCTGAAAAATTAATGATCTTGTGAAGGTTAGGTTAGGTTAGGTTAGGTTAGGTTAGGTTAGGGTAGGTTAGGGTAGGTTAGGTTAGGTTAATATTACGGTGTTTAATCATCAGGTGCAAGAACTCAAACAAACAAAAATTACATTACTTATATCAATTATTTGATATTTCTCTTAAATATTAATTATGTGTGCATTCCATCATATAATTAAGATGTTATTTTTACTTCAACGTACGGATTGTGTCGGAAAATGGGTAGTCTGGGGGTCGGCCCAGTCTCTATTTCAATTAATCCCATATGTTCTGTTATTTCGTTTACGCGTTTCTCGTCTTACGCGGACCTCGACGGGTTTAACTGAGACTATACTGTACTGTCTTTTAAGGGTATGTTGGGGTTCCCAGCTACTTTAGTAATGCATGTAAAGGTGATTTTTGGGATGAACTAAATTCTGAGGTTAAAACATCTAGTCTACAACCCACCAAATGACAACTTTCATAATAACTTTCACAACTTTCATACAGTAATTTCTGCTTTATGTTATGTAAACAAATTTCAAGAGTAAAACGAGCCATTTATGAGCAGCACCCGGTGAAGGATTGGCCTGGTTCACTAAGTCTACATCACACACTATACCCCGCCATGTGACCCACACAATGGACTGGCCTGTGGCAGACTAAGAATATACCACCACATCCTGTAAATAAGCTTTTTATGATTAGTCTCACAGATTTCACGACCAGATTATGGTTTATTTGATATATATATGATAATAAAAGGCCGGTAGAGGCTAGGGGTGAGGGAGAGGACTGACCTGGGTGACTGTTGCTACGCCTCCCCCAGCTGACTCTGTTTACCTCCACCCAGGGTTGCCAACTCGGGTTTCAAATGTCGCTAGGCTGGTACCTAAAAGTAGCTAAATGTCGCTAAATCTTCCATGGAAAGTCGCTAGCTATTATTCCTCCCCTTCAGTAATTTGATGCAAATAATATTTTCATAACGCCGACTATAATGGACGGAGTATAAATAAAATGCATTATGTAAAAATAAAAATAATATTTTTTTTAAAGGTTAATGTGCACACTTACCTATTATTCAATAGTAATTGCATCCCAGTCCTCTTGGTAGTGTGAACAACTGTAGAGCTGGAAGCATGTGAAGTGCTTGGTTCAGGTTCTCTTGTAACTGTATACCTCCACAGTCCCTATCTTTCTTAAAATATCACTAGGAAGTTCATAACTTGCACAACAGGTGTTCTGTCTTTTTAACCCATACTTTATTGTAAGAATTGCCTTTAATGTAGATAGTTTCATTTTGTTGCGCAATTTTGATTTCACAAAGTTCATATTACTAAATGTGCGCTCTACATCTGCGTTTGAATGCGGAAGAGATAAGGCAGCGAGTGCAATTTCAGCCAGATCATGGTAAGGGTTTTCACCTGTCGCATCTCTGTAATTTGCCACTTCTGACCACAATTTTAGGGTGTTAGATGCATGGACGGGCTGACATCAAGTGATCAGAAATAGACGTGTCCCTCCTTCTGTACCAAGACCCGTTCAAATGTATTAAACTTTTCTTATTATTTATTGTCCCTGTAACCCCGTTGCTATATATTATGGCTCGAAATTAGGAAAACTGAGTTTTCATGGACAGTCCAAAAGTATCCAGAAAGTCGCTAGATTTCTGTGGATATCTCTAGAGTCGCAAATCGCTCTAAAATGTCGCTAGAAAAAACAAAAAGCTCTAGATCTAGCTACAAAGTCGCTAAGTTGGCAACTCTGACTGGTTGTCGTACTCCGCCAACACCATTATAAAAACCTTAAAAATAACTCATTAATCCATTAATCAAACTTAATAAACTAAGTAAATTTAACATAGATACTATATAATAGTCTCACTTAAGTTAGAACAAGGTTTGGTTGAGTAATATTGTCTGTAAAGTTAATAGTACTGGGTCCCGCCAAATTCCTCCAGGCCAGACATGTTATCGTTTAGCTCTCTTATCGCTGTATGTACATATTTAAACAAATATTTACCTAATGGTCACCCCAACTAATGGTGATCATATCAAAGAAAGGTATGAATGAGGCCAATCACCTGTGTAGGATCCCTCCTTTGTTCTTGATTGTCCTGTAAAGTTGCAGGATAATTTCAGTAGTGTTCCGGGACTGACAGCCATAGGTCATGTCTTAGCTACTCTCTGTCGGTAGGTAAGTATTGGGCATGTACTGGCTCCTGATGTATCTGTACCTGTGCCGTCACAACGCTCTCTGGCAAATTGTTTCAAAAGTTCATAACCTTGACCCTCAAAAAGTTTGCCCTGCCAGTTTTTTTTTAACTTGTTGCTTCTTCAACCTTAAGTTGTGACCCAATGATCTAATCTCTTTGTATAACCAGGGTGCCGTAGTGCAGGCATTAGTCTGGTGGAACCTTTGGACATTTTCAGGCATCTAAGAGGTCGACTGTTCCAAACATACATACAAGTATATTTTTTACTTTTATCGGCTCGTATTTCTGTGTTCCAGATTTATGTGAGACGTTTAGATACAGTACCTCAACAGGGGGTATTAATGTATATACCTTTCAGTCTGTATATTTGATGTATATTCGGTATATATATTAAGATAATTAAATCAATGTCAACTTGTATGACGAACTATCTATCTATGTATAACCTTTCAGTTGCCTTTAAACTGACAGACCATGCATGTAGCACCTTATTTTGATGGACAGGAAGAAACAAATAATCTTATCTGAGTTAACTTGTCTGTCCACAATAGTTGTCAAAGTCCATGATCACTGTATCTCGCTTAACACGTCTTCATTCATACTTTTAGTTTGTGTGTGTGGCAAAAATGTGTTTATTTATATTAAACTTTGAACTCTATAAATATTATTAGTTATGAACACATTTAGGGAAAATTATTGCCGAGATGTAAAGTGCTTCTGTCATTAAAACGAACATCAAAGGGAATTTATGAACACCCAGTACCCGAGGCGGTCAGTCACTTTGTAAACGTAGCGTGTGACCTTCCCAGTCCTTACAGGTGAAGGCGGAAGTCACTGGATGCTGTACTGGACAAATTTCTTTTCTTTACTTTTATCCTCTTCGACACTGATCGGCTCGTTAGCCGCCCGGGCGATCGGTCACGTCTCTGTCACGCACTGTTAGCAAATACTGGGCATGCACCGGCTCCTGAATGTACCTGAACCCGCTCCAGTGTTGGTCAAGTCTTCTCTTGAAAGAGCTCACACTCGGTGCCGTCACAACACTTTCTGGTAGATTGTTCCAAGAGTTTACAACCCTCACTCCGAAAAAGTTTGCCCTCACAGTTTTCTGGACTTGCGGCTTCTTCAATCTTGAGCTGTGACCCCTTGTGGGGCAGTGTCCGCCAGCTCCAGGTAAGGACACTCAACTGAGTAGTGCCCCCTCAGATGCTTATACACCTAAACTAGGTCCCCCCTTGCCCGTCTGTAGTATAAGCTAGGCAAGTTCAGGCGCTCCAATCTCTCAGGGTAGCTGGGGTGCTGAAGTGCAGGCACCAGTCTGGTGGGATTAGTGCAATTACTAACCTTATTACGCGCTTAAAGACCTTAATTGTTGAAGCTCAGTAATAATATTATAACAACGTTCAACAAAAAGGTATTTAACATTACACTGGTGAAATGGGAGAGGATGAGTTAAAGATAAAGGAATGGGGTGAAGAGGAGAGAGGAGTGGATGGGAGAGGGAGGGGTGAAGAGTGGGAGGGGTGAAGAGTAAAAATAAAGTTTACTCATATTTACCCACAGGAATCCCCCATTGGCATCCTTCAAGGGCAGGATGCGGGCCTCACGTGTCCTACAGGATATCTGGTTGTCGAGAAGGTGACGTGAGGGGCTAAATTTTCCCTTCAATTTCATAGTAAGTGAAGGTATCCAAGTACGTTAGATTAGATAGATAAATAATGATGATAAATTGGAGAGACAGATAGATAGATAATAACTAGATAGGCTCCTAATGAGCCCCAGTTAGGTTGGGGTCTATTAGGACTCTCTACTGGAAATAATTTATCTGGTGGCTTTATCTGACCTGAGTTGACCTTATAGATGCCTCCATAGCTCAGTGGTTAGAGCGCTGGTCTAGTAAACCAGAGGCCAGGAGTTCGATTCTCCTTGGAGGCAAAATACGTAAAAGGAGACTATATTTTCCTATTATGAATCACCTGATAGTTACTCCATTAATGGCTGTTCAATTTGGATGCTGTTATCGTCTGCAGATTAGCCCCTCCAGCATATTTCACCTGATCATTAACAATCCTTATGCTACCTGGGGGTAAGGGTAGGTTAGATTAGGCTACGCTATGTTAAGTTAGGTTACGTTAGTGTGGTTAATCTTCAGGTGAAATAAGCTGGATGCCCCTCCCAGCTTACAGGCTATTTGGAGTCGTACACTACAGGAGGTGAGACAACGATAACAATTAATTCATACAGATAAATTAACGACCAATACAGATCACCACCACGAGTAAACCACAAAGAATCATTTAAAGATTACTCACACTGATTATCTCACCTTTAGATTAATCAACCTATCCTAATCTAATGCTAACTTAATCTAACCTAAAGCTAAGCTAACCTAACCTCGCACCCCCAGGAAGCATAAGGGGGTGAGTCAAGCTAGTGTGATCAGTAAGAGGAAAAGTGTACACAGTAACTCCGACGTACTTTGCCTCCAAAGGGAATCGAACCCTTGACCTCTGGTTTACTAGACCAGCGCTCTAACCACTGAGCTATGGAGGCATCTGTTAGATTACTACAGGTGTTTGAATGTATCTCTCCTGCTTATCGTTAACAACACTCGAGATGGGGAAATAAATATATATTTCGTAAAATCGTCAAACAAGTTCACATTGTTTCATCATACACGTAAACAGTGTAGATATATAAACGATGGTTAACAGTAAGCTGATTCAACCAAGGATAACCTGACAGTCATAAGCGTATTTTCATTAGTTCCCAGGACACAGTAAGGAAATTTGACTGGCAGCGTCCAGCGCTCGGCAAAAGACTCCCCGGGCCAGAGACGGTGTTCCGAAATAGTGGTGGGAAGGGAGGGGGTCAGGTAGACGATATCAAGGACTATAAGAGTGAAGAAATTGAAGTAATTGAGAGAGAGAGAGAGAGAGAGAGAGAGAGAGAGAGAGCAGTAGTTAGCGGGCTTACTACCTTGCTGTTGTGTGTACAGTATGACTCAAGTGGCTACACACACACACACACACACACACACACACACACACACACACTTAATGATCAAAAACATGTGACACACCTTTTACCAATTACGTGGACATTGCCTCCATAGCTCAGTGGATAGAGCGCTGGTCTAGTAAACCAGAGGCCAGGAGTTCGATCCTCCTTGGAGGCAAAATACAGGTACTTGACCTGGTTTTGTGCTGAAGGATGTGTGGGTGGTGGACCCCAGGGCAACCCTACACCGTTCTCAGAACATCACTGTCTTAGTTAACTTATTGTTTCCTTTATTAATGACAACCATTACAGGTTTAGGTCAACTCTATTTCTAGTTCATATGGTACACAATTGTACGTCCAGTCGCTCACGTTTACACACAACAGGTAAAACGAAGGTGTTCATATCGTGAAAAAACAACATTATCTAACGTAAGGTTTTCATGGTATTAAATAATGATTACAATGTGAGCCGCTAGATGACGTAATTAATCAAATGACTCAAGACGTCACTGATGACTGACTCAACGTGACCGCCGTGCAGATAATAAACAAACACGTGTTCCACTAACACTATGTAAACACTATTAGTAATGGTGAACGTTTGTTATGTTTTGGTAAACCTTATAATCTAATACTACAAGAACTAAAGGGACCAAGACTCTTACAAATATTATGGAGGAAGAAACGGAAGGGGTAGGTTAGGTGAGGTCACAGGGGTATTTAGTGTACCCTGATTCCTGATGAACTAATTGAACACAAAATAGACGAATATGACATGAAAATTGGAAGACTAGTATTTAAATGGAGTAATTTAACACAATTTAGAACAATTTAACCCTAAACACATTAAATTTACACACAGGTAAGTACTATTTAAGGGGGAACTGTAGTATATAAATTGGGTAAAGTCAAATTCGAAATGAGGTGATTCACCAAATACAATGATTAATGAAAGTAAACATGGGTCGTCTTTTTGACTGCCTTCATAGCTAAAGCACATGTTGTTTACAAACACTGATAACGTAAACATCCAGGGTCACGAGCGGCGTCTGGTAGTTGAAAACGTATGCATCGCATTTTATTGCCTCCAAGGAGGATCGAACTCCTGGCCTCTGGTTTACTAGACCAGCGCTCTATCCACTGAGCTATGGAGGCTCAAATACTATTATAACAAGCTATAAAGACTAGACACCTCAGCTTATTTCACCTGAAGATTAACCACCCTAACCTAACTTAACCTACCCCCTCCCCAGGTAGTGTTAAGGTGAAATAACCTGAGGTGTCTATCCTCAGGTGATCCTCTAAACCAAACAATTATTTTATATAATTTGTGGTTATGTTAGGTGGTAGTGGGTCAGGGTGTTATATATGAACACAATACGTTAGTCTAAGCCTACTCAAGGTTCCTAATCCCTAAATAGCACACCCTTAAAGATAGACTTAATCCCTAATGCATCTTCTCCCCCAAAATATATATTACGTTCCCTAAATCCCTTTCGTAATTCAAAATCCCTTAAAACAGTTTCACTATCTTTAAACAAGCTTGAATTCCTTTAAAGTTGAATTCGACTCTATTTTTAAGGTGTTCACCCCTTATGTTTCTGTTTTTTTAAGGTAAGAAATGTATATAGATTATTTTTTACCCCATCTTAGGTCCACACGTACTCAACTCCCCCACACATGTTTGTATACTGTATTTGAATCTATACAGGGTTTTTTTCACACACACACACACACACACACACACACACACACACACACACACACACACACACACCCATCCAACCCCCTCTCAACGAAGTCA